TGTAAAAAGATAACAATGTTAGCCTTTTCTGCAGCTATGGGGCATATATGGTATCACTCTTGGCTGGAAGCAGTGCTTAAACAATGGAAAAAACACAAACTTTGTCCTAAACCTCTCATGTTTAACTATTTTCCACTTTTTCTTTGGTCATTTTAGCCTTTTTGGCCAGGGTGAAGGGAGTATCTGCCATCAAACAAGAAGACAGCCGCATGTAGCTATGATGATGTTTGCTAGTTCACCTTACATGCATTAATGTAATAACGTGGTTAGCCTACTCAACGTAAATTACACACGAACAACATGAAGCTACTCACGCAGAGAAGAACGGCTGCTGCTGCATCATCATCCTCATCATTTCTGCTACACTGGCAGGGCTAGGGGCCAGGACTCTCCTCTTCGGGTTCTTGGGGGATGTTGCAAACTCCGGGTCTGATAACAGGCACCACACCTGCAGTAGATGTGCTCGGTGTGAGGTCTCGCAGCAAGCTATCAAATACGGCGCATTTCTGGGCTTTTGAAAAAAAACGCTATGCGTTGCCAGGTGTTTCATCGGATTCTTGGTGTTACCTCCTTTAACAGTATCACAGTATCAGCTTAAAGCACTTGTTGCTGCTGAGTTTGCATCTTCTGCTGTGAAGTACAGCCAGACTTTTGACCGCTTCGCCTTGGGCATTTTTAATCTGTAGCTCTGCTCTAAAAGAACGCACGTACCTGGACCCGCCTACTATCCTCGGAAACGTAAAATGATTGGCTAGAAGTGTATCACAGCTCAGGAAAAAAAAGCACCGAAATAAAGCACCGAAATGTGCGCTGCTTTTCGGTCTGGTTACTACCGTTTATGTCAGAACCGGTGCCATCATGGCACCGGACACCGGTACCCATCCCTAATTTCTAGTTTAAAAGTTCCAAACAGTACAGCCACCATATACATGCAAAGCACAACAAACCACAATCTGAGTAACGCTAAACATCAGTATAACTGTTATGCTGCACTCAGTGACCTCGTTAGTACAGACTGCTGTACAGATCACTGATTGAACAAGACACAGAGAAGCTCTTTATCTTCTAACAGAAGGTAACCGTTCATATTGCGAGTACAGGGTCGCACAGAGTAACCCTCGTTGTAACACTTGCTGTTAATAAAGAGTCAGGACTGTGATGGGCGTCGTGGCTGTGATTTTCATGGCTGTCTGCAACCTTCATCTCACTGTTACTGAGAGATTTCTAAACCGTGCTGTTATTCCATATCTGATTACACAGAAGTGTCATTTCTTTATTTAACATTTATTTAACCAGGAAGTTAACGTCTCTTTGTCAAGGAAAACTTCCCCAAGACGTCACACCATTACAGTGTTACAAGTTTAAAGTTAAATATCTGCATTTAAAGTAAATAATAAATAAATAAGCAAAAACAGGAGAACTCAAAGTAAAAGCAAAGCATCTACAGGTCTCCAGCTGAGCAGCACCACCTGAATGTCTCACAGGACCCCAGAACAAGACAAGCAATAATAGTGATCTAAGAAAAAACAGGCTCGCCAAATCTAGTCAATACAGTTTCAGTCATAATACAAATTACAGAAAATCCTTAATATCACAGTGGCTGACACGGCCGTCTTCTAAGAATATGGAATACAATGCAAATGTATTACATATATGTATCATATGTTTGTTTTCATCAGAAAAACTTATGACAGGAGCAGAGGACAGGAAGGTGTCAGCATGTGGGGAGGAGCTACAATAACAAGGCGTTCATTATAATCATTACCAAGAGAGGACGAGCGGCGAGTGTGGTGGACAAAGATGGGTTTGCTCTGGGGAAGGACACCATGGGGACGGTGGGATGTTTTAAAGGTCAAAACTAAGATTTGTCCTTTTTTCATGCTTTTTAGGTTAAAAGTGTTTCTGGTGTTTCACACAATCAAAGCGGTGACATTTGGCATGTTCATCACTTTAAGTTAAGGTTCTAGGCTGGTTACAGCTGTACGAGAAGGTTGATCAGAGATCAGTGGTAGCTTGGATAGCTTGGTGTCTCTATAGGCTGGCTACAACACACAGAGACAGAAACCTGCTGGGGTTTTATTTGTTTGTGTTAAAATGTTGAAATATTAGAATTCCCTCACCAAAACAGTGGGACAGTCTTCTCAGAGAGGCTTTTAGTGAAGCTGACCTCAGAGTAAGGCTCCGACACAGTTGAGGTCAGGTTCAGTAACTTGAATTAGTTGAGGTGAAGCCTAGCAGACGACTGCCTGCTGCTGCCTCCTCTGTGATTATGATCTGTCAGCAGAAGCAGCCACTACCTAATGGCAAAATTAGCTTTAGGGACCAACCTATTAACGTGTTCATCTCTTCTGTAATGTTGGACCTTTTAAAATGGGAGCTTTGGGAACTAACTCATCTGTGGAAATCTGTGGAAATAGCCACAAGGACCTGATGTATTTGGCACTTTTTGGTTTAATTTGCTTGCTTTCAGCAGATTTAATCCATCAGTCCTTCCATTTGCTTTTATTTATCCAGGGCCGGGGCACAGGGCAACAACCTAAGCAGAGAAGCCCAGACCTCCTTCCCCTCAGACACTTCCTCAGGCTTATCCAGGGGAGCACCAATATAATAAAACTCCAAAATCTAATCATCATAAGGATTACTATAAGCAGATGTCATTAATGTGCACCGCAGCGAGGCAGTGGTCCTTAATTCGAGCCTTCCCTTCCCTGGTTTAGGCTCCAGCACCCTGGCAACCATGGCTTTAAAAGATGATTTGAATAGCGTCCGACTGATCGCTGTCCTTATGTTAAATTAGAGAAAAATCTATTTTGGAGAAACAAAATGCGCTCTTGTGTGTTCAGTATTTGGTGTCTTAATTAGGTTATTTTAATAGTATTGCACAGATAAATTGGTGCATCCAAGTTTCCCCAGCAAATAACTGTATTTACAGCAGCGGGAGGGTCTGTGTGGGAATGACTAAAAACAATGTTCCTGGTAATGAAGGGATGTGTCATATGGCTCAGTGGTGTGGTTTTAAAAGTAGACGACAGCTCTTTGTTACAGGGGGAAAAAAGTTACAAAAAATGTTTATTTCACAGAGTTTTGGATAGTAAATAAATAATATTAGCAGCTGAAGCTTTTTAAGTCAGATTTGATCTTGGTTATGTACTTGTACTAGTTAGTGGATTTCCCTCCTCCCTCTCCTTCATCTTTTCTCCTTCATCACCAAACTTGTCTTCTTACTTTCTTAACGGTGACTCACAAAGCTGCACCACACTGTGTATCGGTCTCTGTTTCAAACATAGTCATTAACTGTTTTCGTTGTTCCTGCCATCACAGGACGCACAGATAGTCACATTTTTTTAATTGCTCATTTGTGCCAGTTATTGTTGGCTATTGTCCATCGTTGCACCCCAGGATTAAAACAAAGGGAAACCCTGTGCAGTATGTTAACAATTCAGCTGTTATGCAAGCATGAGGGTTTACTTTTCTTAGGACACGAAACACTGAGAATCGTTACACAATCGCAATGCACCCATTTTAGTATCCACCTCTGTCCTTACCTGTTAGATAAATGTTTGGGTTTTTTAATAATTTGTAATGACTAACAAGAAAGCCTGCACTTCTTTCTTCTGCCCCCTCATTTTCTCTCGATTAAACTCAATATTTTCACCTCCTCAGTTTATCAGCCACGTCGTGACTCCCAGCACAGCAGAGGACTCTGTCCCTCTCCCAGTTTCAAGTTGCTTTATTGCCTTTCCATGTAAATACATCTCTGGTGCCAAAGCATATGAAGGAAGATAGAGGGGAAAAAATTAAAAATAAGCATTGGGGATGCCTGTACTGGCTGACTGGCCATCGATCACAGGCTGGTTTGATTCCTGGCTGTTCCCGTCCAGATGTCTTCCTGTATTTAACTAAGATGCAGAGCACCAAAGAGCTCTGCTGAACACTAACAGTTTTATTTTGTAAGTTCTACTCTTGGTTGGTTCGGTAATACCTAATAACAGAATGATCCTCCAGAACGCACTGTAGTCCACAGCAGGGGTGGAACATATGTCTTGAGTAGCTGTCTGATATGCAAAAGAAGAGAAATAACAGATGCGTCTGTTTAAAAGTGCAGCCAAACAAACTCACCTGTGAGAATTTAATGTGAAACTTTCTCCCAACAAAGTTTAAAAATCTCAGGAAACAGGAAAATGAAAATATGCACTTTCACCATCCCGTGAATTCTGCCTCACGCTGCATGCGTTGCTCCCTGAGTGGTAACTACACATTGCAAATAAGTTTACTCAGTCATCTCCTACATTGTATCTGATGATCTGTAAATTCCCTTTTATGCTCACCAGGTGAAAACTCTGCCTGTAGTTCTGATTCTGCTGAAGAATCTCAAAGGATGATCACAAACAAGTTCTGCGTGTACTCTCAGGCTGCACAGGAAGTCTTATATTTATGTACTTATACTGCTTATACTGTACGTCTCAAGTATTTTCAACAAGAGAGGAGAAAGTCCCTGAATGGTTGTTGCTGTGGTTGCTGTGGCTCATTAGGTAGAGCAGCGTGAGTGGTATGATCCCTGGCTCCTGCAGTACAGGAGCGACATATGGATCATCCATGAATATGTGAATGAATAAAGTGGTTTTAAAAATGGTCAAATGTTTTTATTAAAAAGCCTAATATAAATGCCAATCTATTTTTGTGTCCAAGTTTTTTCCTCGATTCAGCAGAGGTCATAAAGTGCAAAGTACCAGAAAGTGCCAAACCCGCTTTCCAACTTGCAAATATATTCATGCAGCTCAGTTTGTATTTTGCACATGCATAGAAAAAAGCACATCTCCTTTTTGACACTTTTGTGAGACGCATCATTCTTTTATCTCCACATCTCTTCTTTTTCTGCTTTCAAATTCTGTATACAGTATGTTCAGTAGAGACACACAGACTGAGGACATTCATGTCTGTCTTCCTCACTGTTTGACAGAAGTACAAGAATCTGAGTTTCTCCTTCTTTTTCCCAACAGAAAGACCGTTTTGTGAAGCTCCTGGATCAGCTGCACAACTCCCTGCGTATCGATCTCTCCATGTACAGAGTGAGTCAGAGCTTCCAGCTGCTGATAATAGTTTCTTAACTGCAAACAGAGAACACGTTCGTATTAATTCAGTCGTTCACAAGATAGCACACGATAGAGGGCAGAAGTCAAACTAGACTACACGGACTACTTACTACATATTTCACCCCCTTCTGCTGTAAGGCAGTTTCCTTATTTCCTGCCAAAAATAACAATAAAAAATCACCCAGCTGTTGTCCATTTTCTTTATTTTAAGTTAATTCTGGACCTACAGAAATATGTGAATATAGCATTGGTTTCCATTTGTAGCCAAACGTTTTGCTTGTTATACAATTGAGTGCTTGATTCGATGAATGTTACAGTTTCATCACCATTATGAACAAGAGTTACAGAATATAAGAGCCTAGAAGAGCCTGACCTAAATAGGCTGATGCATTTTAGAAGAAACATAATTAACCAAGTGTTCGTGTGTGTTTATGTGCAGAATAACTTCCCAGCCAGCAGCAAGGCTCGCCTCAGTGACCTCAAATCTACTGTGGATCTTCTCACCAGCATCACTTTCTTCAGAATGAAGGTAGAATCAGCTCATAGTGTATAATCACTAATATCATAGCACTAAAACCAAACAGACAAAACACTGCTGTTATATTATAAGGTTAGATACCTTTAATGATGAAGTATTGACTCAAAGTATTAAATGTATTTTATAGATTTTAGCTTGTTTATAGCGCTTATGTAGATGGATGGATAAATAGATGTTTTTGATACACTTTATATGAAATATACATTTTTTTCCCCTTTGTAATCAGGTTGGTTGGGTTGCTGTTGGATTAGGACATCATAGTTGCACTGTAGTGCAGCATGCTACAATTAAAAGCTATACTTTAGCTGTTAGCAGTAGCGCATGGTCAAAGTAGCTAATTATTTTACTTGAATCTCTCTCTTCCAATTATGTCCTTCCATCTATTGTCTTATCATGTTAATTACACCTTCCTCTGTCTCTTCCTCGCTCTCTTGTTGGGAAGGCTGTCCCTCCTGCTACACTTCTCTGTGGCTAGTGCTAGGAACAGCAAGGGCCTTATATTAGTTCTTGCTGGTACTACGGTGCAGCTGCAAACACAAAATTTAAAGCATTGGTAAAATAAAGAAAAGAATGTAAAATACAGTAACAATGTATACTATACAGAAACCACTGCACTGCCACCCCACGTCCCCTCTCTGGAGATTATAGCGTCCTGCTTTTTATCAGGCAAATTTATATTCTAGATTAATAACATGATAACATTGATATTCACCCACTGTGTTCTGTCTTCCCACTCCAATACCCGGTCTCATGCAGGTCTTGGAACTGCAGAGTCCTCCCCGTGCAGCCAACGTGGTGCGAGATTGCGTCAAGGCCTGCCTGAACTCCACCTACGAGTATATCTTTAACAACTGTCTGGAGCTCTTCAACCGCCAGTTTCAACCCGCCGTCCAAGCAGTGAGTGGCTAAGTATCCACATGTTTTAAGCTTCCACAACAGATCAATACATCTTCTGGGAAATTTGTAAATGTTTGACTGAGAGAAGTGATAATACAACAGTATTTCCCATCAGCTACAACCAAACCCTAAACAATATGTCTGTTAGAGTGATAGAAAGCAGTAGTTTGCTCTCTATCACTATCCAGTGTTGTATAGTGTTACAAAGATCTATGAGTTACTTTTCATGCGACTACAGTGGTTTCTCCCTATTCTGTGGTTGATTTAACAATATTTAAATAAAGCAAACACCAGATTTAACTCTCAGTTTTTACATCAACTCCTCAAATTGCAATATTAATCACATTAATCTGCACTGCAGCCTGGTTTAAGTGATGCTCTAATGAACCCCTATCTGTAGCAGCCACAGAAATATTTCCAGAACAAGGGAAATTTTTAACCTTGCCAAGAAAGATTTTTGTATCAGTGTGTCTAAAGTCATTAAACCATTCGAGTCCCTGAATAAATTAAAAATATGTATTAATGGTGTTATTTTCAGCTTCATGGAGTGTACAAAATCTTATCACATAAATATGGAGCAAGAACATTTTTTAAAATGTGTCATATTATGATAAATTATTCATCGAAATTTCAACTGTCAAGAAAACTTCTGAACTTGTTTTGTTTTCTGCTTCCGTGTAGAACTGAAACATGTCAGGCAAGTCAATTCTTCCTTTATTTCATATTCTTTTTCACGTATGCAGCCCGAGCCAGACAAGAAAAAGAAGAAGAAGAAGAAGGAAAAAGCAGAGGGTCAGGAAGCTGAAGATGATGATGAAGAGGAGGAGGATGAAGAAGAAGAGGAGGAAGAGGAGGAGAAGAAAGAGGAGAGTCAACCGGAAGAGCAGGGCCCAAGCATCCAGAATCTGGACTTTTGGCCTAAACTCATCACACTCATTGTGTCCATCATTGAGGAGGATAAGAACTCGTACACACCCATCATTAACCAGTCAGTGTTTTCCTTTTGTCTTCTATATTCTAATTCTGGGAAATGTGTTGTTGCAGAAGTTGTCTTCATGGAGCAGAACTACCAAGTGTATTATATTTTTGAACTTATATATCTATTGTAATGAATGTTTAAAGACATATAGTACATTTTATTCATACATAAGCTCATTGTGCTTAACACAAGATAAAAACATAAGAACCTGAGTAGGTTTTGCCTTAAGGCAGTGAAAACAGCTAAAACAAGACTGTTTACTACAAAAGTATAGAAGTATAAAAGATCAACTAGGAACTAAAGGTGGTAGGTATTTTTTAATAAAAAATAATAATAACAAAATAAATAACACTTTTATTGTTGAGCAAACTGTGTGGTCTGTGGAGGTGCTAGATTAAAAAAAATCTCCAAAACACAAAAGCTTTGTACGTTGCAATAGAATCTTTTCAGGCATTGCAAAACCAGGACAAGTCCCAGTAAATCTACTTCTGGTTTGCTATAGATCAATGGAAGTAACATTTAAAAAAACCAACATGGCCAGGGTTGAACCAGAGCTTTTGATCAATAAGGTTTAAAAGTTAACAACATAAAACAATTGCGCGCTTGCAACTAGTGCAAAATGCTGCGGCACGATTTTTAAGTGGCAGAAGGAAAGTCGACCACATCGCTCTGGTTTTGGCTTCTCTACATTGGCTTCCAGTTGAATTTAGGATCCGTTTTAAAGTTCATTTATTGGTTTTAAAATCTCTAAATGGTCTGGCACCTGTTTATTTGTCTGACTTGTTGAAGCCCCACGTCCCCATTCGTTCGCTTCGGTCAGCTGAGCAGCTGCTGCTTTCAGTCCCTAAGTCACAGCTGAAACTTGGAGGAGACCGAGCGTTCTCTGTTGCAGCTCTGATGCTTTGGAATAACCTTCCTCTCCATATTAGACAAACTACATCAGTGCCAGTTTTTAAGTCCTGATTAAAAACCTATTTTTATTCCCTGGCTTTTAACTCTGTGGGTAACTGACATTTTTATTAATTTTATTGCTCTGTCTGGTTTTTGCTATTTTATTCCTATATTTATATTTGTATTGTTCAGCACTTTGGTCTGCCAGGTGTGTTTTTAAAGTGCTATATGCATAAATGATGATGATGATAAAACAAACAGGTTTTAAAAACCAGACAGTGGGATCTGTGTGTGCTACTAAACTCAAATAACTATTTTTTGGTCAGTTGTTAGCTTAGATTAGAGCTTAACACAGATATTGTGTTCAAGTTAAGATATTAAATGATATCCTGGATAAACCCCCAATCGTATAATGTTTGGGCTCAGTGAAGCATAAGCAAAGTAACAGCAGCCAACCAGATGATCAAGACAAGTTTAAAGGGTAACATTTAACAACATTTCCAAAAATCCTTCAGATTCCAGTTACACTGGAAGGGAAAGGGGCTGCAGTGACCCCCATTACTTGCAGAGTAACGAGTATTTTTACTGTCTTACTTCTTTATTCCTCCAGGTTTCCTCAAGAGCTCAATGTGGGTAAAGTCAGCGCAGAGGTCATGTGGATGCTCTTCGCTCAAGACATGAAATATGCCCTAGAGGGTAAGACTATATCTTTGCATACTTGGACAGTATATGTGTGTGTGTGACAGAGACATCTCAGAGAAACCAACTCCTCCTTCTTCCCTTCTGCATTCACACTGTCTTTTCTTCAATCCATCATCTCCTTCAGCGTTGGATAAGATTGACCACTACCACTGGAAAAATGGTGAGATTAGAGATAAAAATATGGAGATACAGTCAGAAAAGTCAGTAATCGGGATTCCAGAATAGGGTTAAACATCTCCTGAGACCATTTCTATAAAAACTTGTTCAAACCTCTCAGCACTGAGCTAAAACACACTGACAGTAAGCATCAGAGAGTAAGAATGTTCATTGTAATATCAAATAAAAGTGTGTGCAAAGTTCTGAGACTGTTGCTGATAAGGGGAAAATACAGGAAGCAGGTGTTAGTGTTTAACATTTTTAGAGCTGAATTATTGATATTTTTATAACATCAGTGATTTCCCAGGAGCCTCCACTTTAGAAATGTGTGGACTCTAGTTGGGTTCTTTCAAGATAAGTGCATATAGGTTAGTCATCATAACGAGCTAACTTCGCTACCTAACAGTCAGCTGAGATCTGCTTAGCTGCTCAGTATTCTGACTTTTGATCGTGTCTCACGTCAGACTTGTAGAAACTGTAAAAGCTAGTGTCCTAAAACACATCGCCTGAGCAGGTGTTTAAAGCTTGGCTGTGACCCTGTGTGTTGAGTTTAGATGATTTGTTTTTAGTTTTGTAGTTGTTTCACAGCAACAAAGAGGAAACTTGCGAAAAAGTAGATTTTAGTAGCAAATTTGACTGGTGGCTTGTTTTCCAGCCTTCTGTTTTGTGCGTAGTGTACTTTCCAGCTCCTCTAGTATTTTTCTTCTAACATGTTTTTCTGAAGCCGTTCTCATCTCAGTTATTGCTGCCACAAACTTGCTTCTCTTTCAGTTTCTATTCTTATTGCTTTTGTCATATTTCTGTTGCCATCTCAGCTCCCGCTACATTTCGTATCCGCAAAGTTGACTTCTACGCTGGTAAGAGTGTGTGTGTGATGAGTGTGCATGTACTCATTTCTTTTGTCTTCAGTAGTTTCCTAAGGGTTTTTTTTTTGCACCAGTAAAACTTATTTAACTGCATTTATCTTTTACTTAATTAAATTAGAACAAACATTCTCCCTTTATTCTATCTATGTGTGTACATCCTTCTTCATAAATGATGCAGATGTTGTTTCTCTGTATAATTTATCAATTTTTTTTAGGAGTGAGACAATAACGGAGAAAAACGACTGCATCAACTTGCAATCGTGAAAACCAAACTATTAGCCTAGTGGACGTATTACACATGTGTAGCAGTTTGAGTATTGGAGTTTTGTTTAATGGTAAAAAGTGTTGATATGAAAAAAGCAGGCATCTCCACGTTCAACCTGGTTACCTCAAAAACAGCTTATAACAGTTTATAATACTGGTATAATTATTATTATGTTCAACATGTTATCAAATGATCTGTAACGTAATCAGTGTGAGGACTAGGGATGGGTATCGTTTAGGTTTTATCCGATACCGGTGCCAAACCGGTACTTTTGAAACGGTGCCGGTGCTTAAACGGTGCTCAACTTTGTCCAAAAACCTCTCATGTTCAGCTGTTTTTTTGTAAAAAGATAACAATGTTAGCCTTTTCTGCAGCTATGGGGCATATATGGTATCACTCTTGGCTGGAAGCAGTGCTTAAACAATGGAAAAAACACAAACTTTGTCCAAAAACCTCTCATGTTTAGCTGTTTTCCACTTTTTCTTTGGTCATTTTAGCCTTTTTGGCCAGGGTGAAGGGAGTATCTGCCATCAAACAAGAAGACAGCCGCATGTAGCTATGATGATGTTTGCTAGTTCACCTTACATGCATTAATGTAACAACGTGGTTAGCCTACTCAACATAAATTACACACGAACAACATGAAGCTACTCACCCAGAGAAGAACGGCTGCTGCTGCATCATCATCCTCATCATTTCTGCTACCCTGGCAGGGCTAGGGGCCAGGACTCTCCTCTTCGGGTTCTTGGGGGATGTTGCTAACTCCGGGTCCGATAACAGGCACCACATCCGCAGTAGATGTGTATCAAAATCCTCATAGATTTTAAACCTGTCTTTACTTTGGCTGTTGTGGCTGTTGTTTTTTGCAGAACATGAGAAGCATAAGCTCTGTAAGACTGCTGACTACATGAACCTGCACTTTAAGGTCAAGTGGCTGTACAACGAGTACGTTAAGGAGCTGCCTGCCTTCAACGACGCTGTGCCAGAATACCCTGCGTGAGACCGTGTTTTCTCTCTCATTATTTCTCCTTCAGACAAAGGAGAGCTCTTGTTGATTGATTTTTCTGACTTTCCAATTAGATTTGGTGTGATGTTGCATACCAAACACACTCGAAGCATTTCTCTCTGGGTTTTGACACTAGAAATATGGAGGAATAATAACATTAGCCAGAAGAGTTATCAGCGAGCACATTTTTTTCCCAAGGCCTTTGCTCTGTTTCACAGTTTAGATAACCAAAATTCAATAGGTTCACGGAGAAATGACCTTTTAATACAAAGGCACAAGATGTTTTTACACTTAAATATTTCTGTTCTACAAACTATAACATGTGGATGTAAAATATAAAACGCCAAACAAATCAGGTAAATTAGAACTGCAATGAAAAGAATTTTGGACAGCTGAGCTTTGAAAACGTTTTCAATCTGCAAACGTTCCAGTTTTTCAGGCTGTCAAAGAGAAGATTAAACTTTGTTTAGCTTTGTCTGTTTCCTATTATTCCTTCAGATGGTTTCTCCAGTTTGTCCTTGCCTGGCTCGCTGAGAACGAGGAGGTATCCATGGAGTTTATGCATGGAGCACTGGAGAGAGACAAGAGAGAAGGGGTGAGTCAGAGACTCGGGAGAAATTATTCTGTTTGCTGAAAGTTGTCACGTCATCGTGAGCAAAACAAAAGTGTCACAGACTCCTTTGAATAAGCAACAAGTTTATCGTCAGAGCTCTCTGTTAGAGTCTGAATGAAGACGTACGCAGGGAAGAGGAGGTAGTGCTCGGTCAAACACAGGATTTTAATCCAGAAGAGCTCATTTCATGTCATGTTTGAAGAAATCTTCGGGGTGGGGGTGGTGGAGTATCAGCAGGCTGGCTGTGATGGGCTGATCTGGCTAAAAAGCCCATTGATTATGTAAACATAAACCAGTGTTTTACCAGCATCATTTTTGACTTTTTGTTAAGTGGATGAATATTTTTTTTTAAAGCACAAACTGTTTAATAATCTGTGGATGCATAAAAAGCGAGACAAAAACGTCATCTTGCAGCTCTGATCCTGATCTTGCTTTTTTCCACGTCATTGTCGTGATGATCATGGTCAAAAATCAGATGTGTGTGTGCTCTAGTTTTATCAGTCTGGGCTGCAAAACCAACCGTATTATTTTTGTTGCTGCTGTTTTTGAACAAAGGCTTACGTCAGAGCTCGTAGCCTTACACGGTTTCGTTGTGTCAAGCCTCACTGTCAGCCCCCGGTCCCTTAGAGATCTCCCACACTGTCCTTAGCTGAAAGTCAAAGCGCTGAGGCTTCGGGCACATTCGAGTATCTGGGCTGAGCACCGGCACAGCGTACACGTGGGTTCCAGCCTTTATTCAGGTGTGCCTCTCGATAAACACATTTGGCACTCCTGTTTATTTGTGGGGAGCTGGTGGGAGGAGATGTTATTGCTAGTGAAGCCATGTGAACTGATGATGTGCGGACATTATGAACGTCATGGCTACGCTTTCTAAATAAAGGTATGCGTACGTCTCCGCGTGTAATAAAAAAGAGAGATTTTTAGTTATGCATTCCTTGTTTTTCTTGTCAGTTTCAACAACGTCGTTATCCGAGCATCAAAAACTGTCCTCTTTGAAGAAAATGTATAATTTCACTCTATAAAGTTTCAGTGAACGTTTCTGTATTTCCTGTAAATTGAATCAGAATTGAATCATGGGAAACGGGAACGATTTGCTGGCTTCTCGCTTAGTGAAAATGAAACGTTATGTTTGTGATCTCGTCCATTATGAGCGATATTACTTTACAAGGTTTGCCTAAATGTGATAAATTTATGTTTTCTTGCCATTTGGACACTGCTGAGGTCACAGTGCTTACATGAGGCAGAGGAGGGGATGTGAGATGCAAAGTGGAAGGTGACGCACATCCTAAAAATAAAAAAGCACAAATATAAATGACTCCAGAAGTTTCAGACATCCTGATAAAAGATCGCATGAAAGCTGCTAAAATGTGAGCATTTCTGTTGCAGGTTGTGCCTGTGATTTAAAATATATATTGTCTGGCTGTTGTTAAAATAAACCTACAAAACAGCACAAGCACATCTAATATCACATAACAGATACAACCTGATTGTGCTTGATGCGCCCAGCAGCTGAGAGCACAGAGGAAGAGTTGTTGATCATGTTGTTGTCATGGCACCAGAGTGCAACCGCAGTAGAAAAACGATGCAGTAAAAAGGAAAGCTTTCTGCAGTAATGACAGAATAAAAGACCGCTTCAGACTCGTGACCTTTTGCTCAAATTCTCCCTTTGGTTCCTTCTGCTTTTGGACAACTTTTCGTAGATTAGAAGAATGATGAACAAGTGTTTGTCTGCCTCCTGTTGGTCCCCAAGCTGCACTCTGCCGTCCTATTTGTTGGTTTATTGTGCTAAGACAGCTATTGTGTGTCCTAAAGGAGGTTTGGCCCTTTTTGTGGCCTGAGCAGGTGGTTATTTTCAGTCATGCTCACACGGCTTGGCCTGCATGTGCATTTTCAAACATCGAAAGATTAAACATTTATATATGTCTGTGAAGGTTCTCAGTCATCCAGGTCATCGTAGTCAAAGGATATAAACCTAGTGGGTTACTCCCACTAGGTTTATATCTGGGACTCTCCACCATTTGACCTTAGAACTGAAGAAGCTTCTCGGATGAGAGGTGAAACGTCTTCAAGCAACTTAAAGAAGTCCAGACGCTTTTCTTTGCAAGCTCCTTTGAAAACGTTTAGATATGTTTTTTCTCATTTTATCTTGACTCATAAAAATCATTAAGAAAGTGGTAAAAATGGAGCATAGAGGTTACATAGTTGCAGGTGGATGTGATGTTGGAGCTGAACCTTTTGTGGAGTATATAAGATGCAAAAGAGCAATACATCGAAAAGGGATGTAGGTTTAATATTAGTATTTGAAGAATACGGTACATTAAATGAGAGAAGGGGAGGACGTACGAGTCAGCAAGGAGGAACACAGCGTAGGGAGACTGTTTGTTTGTTTTATTTGTGTCAAAGTAAAAAAATGTCCTCTTGTTCCTCTGTCTGCAGTTTCAACAGACATCTGAGCATGTTCTGTTCTCCAGCTCGGTGGTGGACATCTTCACTCAGCTCAATCAGAGCTTTGAGATTATCAAGAAACTGGACTGCCCTAACCCCACGGTGGTGGCACATTATAACAGACGCTTTGCCAAGGTGAGCCCCGTGCCTTTGTTTAGAGCCCATTTTGTAACTTTGGTCTCTGCAACACTGAAAAACATCTCAGATCTGACAGCATCTTAGTTTTTTATTCATTTCTCTGTTTTCTGCTGGCTAAACGCGAACATATGCAGAGACCATGTCTCACATTAGGAGCATATTAAAACATCCTTTTGCTTTCCAAGAACTACTGTTGATAGGTCAGGTTACTCTTTAAGAGAGCGCTTTACAAAAATACTCACTGGCTCTTACCTCTAGTGCAGGCGTATCACGCATGCAGCCAGTGAGGCCAGAATCATCCCACCGATGGTTCTAATGAGGCCCAGTTTGAAAATGTGAAAACTGCAAAAGAAGAAAAGCAGAAAAACTGAATTTTTGTCAGTTTATAAAACATCGAGCATGGCCTGTCATAACTGGATAATAAACTACTGACAGAAATGAAGTTTAAACAAGAGTAAACATAATTTACTCTAAATTAACAGAATATTTCTGTTTAATTAAATCCAGATAATGAGCTAAAAGTGTTTTTTTCTATAATTTTCCTCAGTAATTTCTCAAAGGGGAAGCCCTTCTAATAGGTTTCTGTACATTTCTGGAGTATTGCAGCAGCAGAGTCGGTTCACTTCGGGCACGCTTGCACTTGGGGAAATACGTAGAGATGATGACCACTAGCTCAGAGTGAAACCAGAATATTTGCTGCACTATTTGCACTTTAGTGTAATCTGATATAGCACAGACTTAGGAAGCTCACAGGTTCAACAGCGACTGTTCTCTCATGCTCAGAGATGCAGTGTGAAAAAACTTCATATTTGCTATATCCTTTTAAATATTTGAATTTCCCTGCACCTCACTGCTCATAACACACACATTTTCTGTTTTGGATATTTGGACAAGTTAAAGTGGGATAGTGGGTAGCGTGGATTGATCAGTTAATCGAGAAGATCATCTGACTCTATTCAAAAGCATCAGCCTTTTTAGAAGACCGTTTCCTCCTTTTATAATCTAGTAAAATTGAATTGTTTCTGAGTGATTTCAAGACAGAAATATTAGCTGGTTTAGCTCCAGCCATCCCCGATACATCATACAAAGGCAAGAGGTTGTATAAATGTAGACATGAGGAGGAAAATTGTATGCAGAAGGCTTTGAGATCAGAATTTTCTTGCACTTAAAGAATTTCATGTCTATATCTTTACTAGCATGTGACTCTGGTATGCAGTTGTTTGTTTGGAGTAAGTTTTTCATGACTGTATCCATCAGTGGTGCAGAGGTGAGATTCTTTACCTGAAAGTTCCTGCTCGGTGCAGCTTTAGACCATGACTCCTACTGAGGTCTTTACTTGAGTCTTCTTTGTTCAGTCTCTTGAATCATTTCTAACTCACTAACGAGTTTCAGGTATTTCTCTGTAAAACATACAAACAGGGCATAAAGTGTAGGGTTATGTTTTTTCTTGAAATGTAATTTAAGGCAGGTCCTTTTAAGCAGAGCCGTTCAATCTAACAAACCTCTGCAGAGAAACTGTGTGTGCGCGCGTCTGGTGTTATGGCTCGATCGATACGGGACTCATTAAATAAAGAAAAGCTAATGTAAGCCATCACTCTGAGCTGTCCATCTCTCTGTCCCCGACCCTTGACTTGCTTTTCATTTTGTGCCGCTCCGCTCATGTTAATCTCCTCCTGAGTCTTTTCATCTCTACCCATCCCATCAATCCTGGGACTCTTGTCTTTTGTGTTCCTACTTTTCCGTCTACGTCTGCCTTTATTTCTTCTTCATCTCTTTGTCACCCTCCAGTTTCACATTGTTCTGCTTTCCTATGCAAGAAACAATAATTAGTTTGTTTTTAAAAGTGTGAGGAAAAAGAGATGGCTGCAGAACTTGAGTGATATAAAGCCGCACTAAGCAGTGCAGGCAGCTATCAAGCTGCATGTTTAATGCAATAGTTTGTAATCTTGCTGAGTCAGCAGAAAGTAGGGAAATCTCTCACAGTGAGCCCACGGTGCTGTGAGGCACAAGTTACCACTGTGATGATGACAAATTAACTCTGTGATTTATTTAAAAGTGCCCTGTTGAGTTTTTATTGCAAGCAAACATGTCATTCTTTGTTTCCCATCAAAAAGCAACCAGTTTGCTGGCTGGACATTATAAATGTTTTCTTCACTTCTTCTAGAAATATTTTTTCAGCTTTTATTCATGCAGGGCGTCTTCAACGAGCACATTACAGAATCCAGCTGTGTGCTGAAGAGTATAAAGCTCATGCAAATCTCATGTCTTTCCTTTGATTATTATGTGTTTTCTCATATAAAGGATGCGATAACAAAACAAGAAACATGCAGTGAGGCCAGTGATTGACAACTGCACACATTTTAAAAGTGCTTAAACAGAGGAAGAGTGCTTCTTTACGTCTCTGATTAATGAGCAGCGATTTTCTGCAAGATCTTCCAACAGCTGACGGCACTGTGTGCATCACACAATGTCACATGAACTCTGACACATTGTTTCATTTATATTTGCAAATTATATAATAAAATATTAATATTTGGTGTTCCTGTATCAATACAATATTGGCATGCAAAATATCACAATGCAGTGCAGTGTGAGTGACTTTCCGGTGCTTGGGCGGAGCCTACTGGTGGCAGCTGTTCTCAGGTGGGCTCATGAAAGACATCACACAGATGTAGTGTTATTATGAAGCGGGCGCCGTGAAGACTGTTTAACGGCTAATCACGCAAAATATGACATTTGGCTTCTCACTAGAAGCTTCTGCATTAGCTCAGATTTCCATGACTTACACATATCCGGTGTGACAACAGTTAAGTGTCATCAATGAGTAAAAGGTAAATGAGTCAAACACAATGAGGCATCTTCTTTATAGTCTTTAACATTAGATTAGCTCGTGTTGTCCTGAAACTACACGCAGCTCTTTAAGGCAGACAGACTGACATTTTCAGTTAGCACAGTGCGAGTGTCTGATGCTACCTGAGTTCAAACAGCAGTGCTCTCAGCTCGCCAGACTAAAAGGCTAAACATCAGTGTTCAGCGTCACTCTTCACTCCAGAGGATCCCAGGGAAAGCATGTCTTATGTGAGTGTTATCTTGTTTCCACAGACGATCACCAAAGTGCTCCTGCAGTACTCTGCTCTGCTGGCCAAGAGCTTTCCCTCCTACTGTGAGAAGGAGAAGATAGTGAGTACTGCTGCGTCACCACTCTGCTACCACAACACCTCCCTCAGGGCTCATCTCTGATTTGGAGGGAGACACTTTGAAAGCTAGTAAACTCTCTTTGGAGTGGATTAATATTTCAGTGGTTGCTACTTACTCATCTAACTTCAGTCTTTAATCTTCCTGTCATCACCCTTTTATCTTGCTAATCTACTTTCATTTTATATTCTTGACTTTTCCTCTTTTTTAAAATTCATCATTTATGTTTGGTCTGCTTACAAACGCTGCCTCCCTGATTTATCTTCCTCCAGCCGTGCGTGCTGATGAACAACATCCAGCAGATGAGAGTCCTTTTGGAGAAGATGTTTGAGTCCATGGGAGCAAAACAGGTGAGCATTAACAGGTGTATGCACACGCACCAAACCCTAAAGTTTGTAAGCCATCTGCCAGGCAGACACTGATTTCAGTCACTTAAAAGGTCAAAATGCTGATTTAAAGACTTTTCCATGAAGTACATGACTGAAAAATGCCAGAAAAAAACACTTTTTTCTGTTCAGAAGTGTGAATGTGAAAAATGGTAAATGGATTTGGTTCTTCTATAGCGCTTTTCTGCTCTAGCTGAGCACTCAAAGCGCTTTATACAACATGCCTCATTCAAACAAACACTTTTTTCTATGCTTAAGTATTTTCTCTCTAACATTCGCACCCTGATGGATGCGTCACAGAGCAACCTTGGGTTAGTATCTCACCCGAGGATATTTGGCATGCAGAGTGGAGCGGCCAGGGATCACCAATGTTCCAATTAGTAGATGACCTGCTCTATCTCCTGAGCTACAACACCTGTGCAGAACAGAGTGTGTTACAAACGTAGGTTGACCGAACAGACAAAGGGGAACCTTCACTTTACAAACTTAAATTAGGTGCACACTGCAGTCGAATGTTGTCAGCATTCCAGTTCCAGTCATACTCAAAAAGCACATAGGACGAAGGTTTAAAAATCTATCACTGATGCACTGAAAGCTCTACGAGCCACAAAGAAATCCATTTTGTCTGTTGGTGTGTTGAAGTCCACTGCTGGACCTATTTGGGTCACCTCCCCATCCTCCAGGTGTGACCTGATTTCTATAATGAACCTATTTGGTATGTATTCGGGTTCATCAGTCACCACAAGGAGAAGCAGCAGAGCCGAACCTTCTGTGGATGCAGGAATCTTTCCTTCTGCTGAGCCTGTGATTGTAGTTTCAAGGTGTAAAAAATACAAAGGTGCAAAAGCTGCAGCAAGTGTGAGCCTGCATGTATATAATCACAGATTTAAGAAAGCGAGAGTTAAGTGTGTGTCTTTTTTCCTGCAGTTAACAGCTGAGGAGGAGATGGTATGTCTCAGTGGGTTTTTGTTTTTGCTTTGCTTCCCTGTGGCTCCACCTCCACCCAAAACGATCTGTTGAGTACAGTAAAACCCACTCCACACCTCTTTCCTGTCATCAAACCTTTTTCCACCTTGCAGTGCGTGTGTGTCTGTTTTTAGATTGATCCCAATTTACTCATAAACAAGAGCTAGAGCTTCCTCTCCTTCTTCCTAGACTCCCAGTTTTCACTCCTCAAAATAAACTCCAGCTGATATAAATGATGTAGATGTGTGTTTTTAAAAAAACAAAACGTTCTCTTCGTGGTGTTTTTTCTCTCGAAAGCTTGAGAATGAGGAGGAACCCGATGAGTGTGACGAGGAGGTGGGTCGACTTCTTTTTGACTGGTTTGATTTGTTTCTGTTCCCCTGTTGTGTCTGACTGCCGTCGTCGTCGTTGCCTTTTTCTGTGAAAGTCCAAATATTTGCTGTGACAATTATTTTTAGTTTTTTGATGGGAACAACACAGTTTAAATCAATGGAGTTTACAGCTGTTGCTCATTTTTAACAGTTGATGGCTCTAGTCAGGCTTTTATATGAACAAATAATATACATAATAAACAAACACTTTAAATACACTTACATATTAAATAAAACGATAAATTAAATGGGAAATGTTTAGCCGGATGAACTATAGACAAGCAAAAATCCCAAACTGACAGTTATAGTTCATTATCCATGTCCTTACTAAACCATAGCGGAGGATTATTTCCTGGTGAGATCGTTCCTTTGTGGGTTTGTCGTTTTCTTCTTTCATATATTTTATGCACTTTCTTTTTATTTCCTTATGATATTTGGACCAGGCTGTCTCTGACAACGAAGGCGGCGATAACATGGTGGGTAGGCCACAACAGCAGATATAAAACACTCCTGAAATCTACTTTAGTCTGTTTTTATTATTATAAAATGTTACTTGTGTTTTTAAATGACCGCATTTGTGTGGGTTTGATCCTTTTTGCTAACAGTCAGAGGAGACCAAGGTGAGATAAGGATTCTAGGTCACAGCCAATATTTCATATAGCTTCCTCAAATGTCCTTTTGTTTCTCTCATTTGTCTCATTTGACCTAGTTTTCTTATGTTTCTATTTTAATTTGTCGATGGCAACGTCAGTCTGGCTGCTCAGACTCTGAGGGATCTGAGGTAAGGAGGAGAATATCACACTCTTCCTCAGAGCTGCGATGATATTAAAGTAGAAATCTGTGTGAGATAAAAACGGGAGATTTGACTGCTGTTAACACAATCATCACATTCAGTTCTGACGAAGTAGACTCAATCGCTGAAACTGCAGTCGGCAGTTTGTTGTCATGCAGAATCAATGTGACGGGAGACAAAAACACAGTTTCAGAACAAGCTCAGGTGTAATATTTGAAAGGTGCGAACGCACAGACTGTATATAAAAGACGGATGGAGTCGTCATCTGAAAAGCCTTTAAATTCCTAAAACTGCCGCTCTGTATATTGACCAGCAGGGGGCGACTCATCTCGATACAATGCACTTGATCTCTGACCCCAGTAAAGCCTTGATGATTTTAGTCTCTGTCAGTATTTCCTATATTACCATGTATACAGTCAAATACACTCACGCCCATTTCATTAGGTACACTTTGCTAGTACTGGGTTGGACCCTGTTTGGCCTTCAGACCTGCTTCAGTGTTATCCAGATTCAACAAGGGGCTGAAAGCATTACTCAGATTTTTGTCCTTAATGATCCATAATTTGGTCTCCGATTCCACCACAGCCCAAAGGTGCACTGAGATCTGGTGACTGTGGAAGGCCATTCACAGAGAACTAATTTCACGTTCAAGTAACCGGTTTGAGATGATTTGAGCTTTGTGATGTGGTATGTTTCCCTGCTGGAAGCCACCACGGTGGACATGAACGCCCAAATTATGAGCTCACCATCCAAATATAGCAACCATCCAAATGAGACACATCAGACCAACCAACACTATTCTTCTGTTGACCACTGTTGAGGAGTCCGTGTGTCCTGTAGCATCACTTTCCTGTTCTTAGCTGACAGGAGTGGACAGCGTGGTCTGCTGCTGCAGGTTCAACATGTGCCCCTATGCTCTTCTGTTGGTTGTAATGAGTGGCTGTTTGAGTTAGTGTTCAATTTCAGTCTGCTCAAACCAGTCTGGCTTTTCTCCTCTGACCTCAACAAGGCCTGTGTGCTGTCAACAACCATGCCACAGTCAGCTTTCTTTCAGACTTTGATGCTCAGTTTGAGCTTCAGCAGGTTGTCTTGACCACGCCCACATCCCTAATTGCACTGAGTTACTGCCATGTGATTGGCCGATCCGAGGCTTGTCTTAACAGGTGTACCTAAAAATGTAACCAGTGAGTGCAGGCAGTATAGCCAGCTGGTTTTATGGCTTAACCGCTCGCATGAGATTCAGTGTCCTCAGGATCTCAGATCCACTCCTAGTTTATCACTCTGACTACAAAATAAAATATTTTTTAAAAAACAACCAAATTCCTGAAAACATGATTCTGGCAGCTCCATCTTTTATATACAGTCTTCTGTAGTTTTTAATCTGTCAGAAAATTGTGCTTCTTCCTAAATACTTGTGATAAATCCCTCCGCAGACGTGATGCCAAAATATTCATTAAAGCCTTTGATACCGCATGCTGGCAAAGCTCTTTACACATTTACAGCCGTGTCCTAATGCAGACTCCTTCCTCTCCCCTCCAGTGAGTACATAATAGACCAGACAGTGGGCTGCCAGATAATTGAATTTGATGGAGTATAAACATGTTGTATTTAGCCGCCACTAAATGGTTTGCTGAAATGACTTTGATAGTCAGCTCAGTGTGTGTTTTGTGTATGTGTCCATGTCTGAGGGAGCTGTTTTCTTTGTGGCACAGGGTAGCGTGTCAGAGGTGAGGGAAGGCTGGATAAAGTCTGTCTCGGCTGATATCTTCAGTGTCCCAACCTCAGTCAGCCGGCAGTGTGTCTGCAGGGCAGCATGCTGCATCATTATATTAAGATTTAGGTCGAGGATGTAAAAACAGTTCAAATCCAATGATGTTTATATTCGTTTTATGACTTTTTGATTCTTGGATCACCCAACCTTAAATTTTTATTAAAGGATTTCCTTCCTTATGAAAAAGGAACATTTTTCTGATAGCTCATACTCGTTATAATGATAAAACCTTCCTTTTCCTTTCCTATTCATCCTCTCCTGACTCCTCCTGCTCACTCTTAGGCTGACAACCGAGAGAAGGAGAAAAAGGTCAGTTTGTGCATAATGACCGTGTGTTTATGTTGGAAATCAGGCCTTTGTGTTTTATAAACTCCTTCACTCATCACTTTTTAGTTTGATTAGAAGTTACAATCAAAAAGTTCCACCTGTTAAAATCAAGTATCATTTGGCTACGATTCCCTGCAAATTTCCTCGTCTGCTGCTCCTACTAGGTTTGTTTTTTTCATTGTGCCCCTGAGTTTCCTTTTTGACCACTTCCATGCGCATGTTTGTGTGGTGAGTCTCCGACACCAAAGCAAAGACTCTTCAATATGATTTTATTTTGGGGAAGAGAAAGAATATGTAGGGAACAAGATCTGACTAGTATGGCAGGTAGTGAGAGAACTCGACCAACCTTTTCAGTTTACTGTGAGTGGTCACACGTTTACATAGTAAAGGTGTATTTACACTGACTGTTCTAACTCGGATACCTCAGGAGGTTATAGTAGACAGTTTGACCCCGTGTGACAAACAACATGGTGCACAGCCCCGTGGAAGTCATATTTCTGGTCACACGCTTCACCTGCTGCAAAGCCTTCAGGCTCTTATACTGAAAACTTCATTTTAGTCTCTGAGTTGTAGCTGGAGACCCGACTGACTTCTCACAACACAAATTCTGGGTTCATTTTAATTGAAATACATGTGAAATCACAGGCGCACTTGCAAGTGGTCAGAACAGGACTTCCGGGAAGTGATTCAAACTTAGGAGAGCTGAAAGCATTTCATAGAAGTGACACTGAAGGAGCTCTAATCATGGCCAAGTGTAACGTTTTGATAGTTTTATGTTAAAAGGTGGACAACCAAACTCCAAATGAGAGTCAGGGGAAAGTGTTTCAGAGCTTAAAGCCCTACGCAAGAAAATTCACCAACATCAGCCCAGGAAGAATAATCCAGTTTCCAATCCTTTAACTTTAGCTTTCCACCCAGACGTCTGCCAGTGTCTGTATCCAACTCTTGATTCTAATTCAGGAAAATCAATTGGATCTTAGTTTGTCTCCTAAAACAGTCTTGCTGCCTTTAGTGTTTTGCACTGATGTTCTTTAAGATATTGCCTGCAGCAGTTTAGATACAGATTTTGTGCAAAAACAATCAAATATTTATTCCAGCAAAATCACAAGTGAAACTGGGTGTTACATTGGCACAGAATTAAGTCATTAACAGATGTATGTCAATCACACCATAGATGCTCCCTCACATCTGTGCCTGTTTCTCTGCATTAGTCTCTTGGTGGCAATGCATTAAGTGCCTCTTTCCACCAGATGTCTATTTTTTTCCATCGAGCAGCACTAAAAAGATGCTGTGGGAAAAGCGCGGGGTGCTACACGACTCCTGCTATTAAAGCCAACAAGATTGAAAATCTGGAGTGGGAAGTGAAAACTTGAGATATTTTAAACCAGTACTAAAAATGAAAATGCAGAGCTCTCATGGGGCAACACGGCGTGCCTTCCCTTTTCAAAACAAGGCGACAGCACACTGAAATGTATAAAACATTTGTTCAGCAATGATATACCATTAATTGTCATTTTCCCCGAGCTGACGCTTCAATAGTTTTGTGGAGAGAGAGCAACTTTGTACTGGAAGTAGACGTTTTAGTTTGCGGCTGTGTTGTCTTTAAAGCAGCTGTTTACCCTCTGTGCTCCTGTAGGATGAGTCCTCAGCCTATGATGACAGTGAGGAGGAGCAGGAGAAGGTTTGGCTCCATGTCCAGTGTTTCCATAACTGACCTCTCCTCTCCTGCTGACAGACATCACTGACTCAAATTATTACACATGGTTAACTAATGCTGCAGTCACACTCGGGAAACTGCTGGACAACCAAAATGATTACAACTCGTGTTATAAACTCTTATTACCTCAGAAATTGTTGCTGTAACGATGGGGATCTGGTCTGAAACAGACAGTTTGTGCTCATCAGTGCAGACAGACTGATTGCAATGTGCTGTCAGTCTGTCTGTGTTTATAAATCAGATGTTTTTAGTCACTGATTTGTTTCCCTAGTTTTTCTATAAGGGGGTTGCCATCCTGTTTTTACTCTTGTGTGACTGAACCATAAGCCTTCCAGTTAGTTTACCATTCCTGTGTGTAAGAGTTAATGTTTATGTCTGAGCGGGTATACATATGATCCACGTATGTATACATACAAGTACGTCCTTGTGCACCATTCACTTTTTGTCTCCCCCGGCCTTTTTTGTTTTCTGTTGTTTTAATTTTAAATATATTTTTATTGCTTTTTGTTCTAAAGCTGGGCAAAGAGAAGGTGAGCCATAACAAGAACCACACGACAGTTCAGTTTCTTTGTATTTCATTAACATTTGTCTTATTTGTCTTTTCTTTTGTTTTCACACCTCTCTAGTCTGAGTCCAAGAAGGAAAAGGTGTGTTTTCAACTAAACTGTGTTCATGTTTTTTGTTTTTTAAAGCACTTTGTCTTTGTGCTCATTTGTGATTGTGCAGCCTAAATTGTTATTGTATATAAAAAAAACAAGTTACAAAAGGCTTTAAAAAACAACCTGCCAAACAAGATATTTTGAGATATGAAGAGAAAAAACTGAGAACTGAAAGTAAATACTTGACCTTCATTTAGAAACATAAACACACAAGTTAATGCTGCTTCAGAGCAGACATATTTAAAAAATAACTGCAAAATAAAAAGATGTTGTAAACCTTTTAATTTGCAGCATTTCCATATCACTGCTGTCTTGTTTTTCTCGCCAAAATCCCAAATTGTATAATTTATCTTCACTTCCACCTTAAAAACCAGTTTTGAGTGGTGTTTGTTTACTCTTTTATATTTAGGAGAGATGCTTTACACAGAACTGGAGTCAGTGGCCTTAAAAGTCTGTACCTTGGTCCCTGAAAGATTAGCTGAAGGGAGCTGCAGGAGGTCAGAATGGCCGTCAGCACCCCACTGTGAAGCTACTGACTGTACATAATTAGCTGATCAAAGAAAACAAACTACAGAAGAAAAAAAACATACCTGTCCTGAAACTCCCACATTTGTGGAAGACAAAGACCACGGTGGCTAACACGAGTGGTAAATCAGCCCGGTCTCATGGCAGTTTATGAAATGGTCACGTTCATGTACACTAATATAAAGGTTTGGTTAATGAATTTTATATGTCTCAGTGAGCTCTTCTTTAACAACTCCATATTAAAATTCATTTAAATAAATGTGCATTTAAAAAAAGCACATTTAGATAATGCTCTTTTGGCCGTGGCATTAAAATGATCCAGTGCGTTAAAGGGTGTTACAGGTGCATAAATGCTAAAAACAGGACATTGTAACCTGTGGCTAGATGGTTGCCAGGCAACCTGATGGCCTCATGATACACTATGCATAATTCAGTTTTTGTGTATATAATTTAAGTGTTACTGTAGTAAAATAAAAATGATGCAATGGTTAGTAAGGTATGATGGGTGCATAAATACTACATTTAGGTCATATTAACCCACTGCTACACAGTTACTAGGCAACATGTTGACATCAGATCTGATATAGATAAGAACCTTCATGGGCCTAAAATGTACCAGCATGCCAAGTCACACACATATATACAAACGTATTTATCCACATTTATAAAGCCATTTTTATTCTTGACTCAGCTAAAGTAGCATTTCATGATTCAGAGCTCAACATAATTCTTATTTATCTTACTGTGACCTGTAGTGATGTTTACTCGGCTCCCTTTATGCCATCTTTCTAGCCACTCTCACTGACATCAGTTGGAAGCCTGGTCATTTGACCAGCACTTATACCTCCGTCGTTATATGAAAACTGTTCCAAACCTAACCAATTAGCTGTGATGCCAAAACTAACCAATGGAAGCATAAAAGTAAAACAAGTGAAAGACTAAAATAAAGTTACTGTTGGCATTTAAACCTCAATCGTCTGAAAGAAATCCTGCAGCTTGCAGAACCTCCATACCCTGTCCCTGATTAAATGGGTTGAGTTGTTCTTTCAAACTGGAAGCGCTGGTATGAGATCATTTTTTGCCTCCAAAAGAAAAGAAAAGAAAAATGTGTCCACAAACACGAATCAGTAGACAAAACTTTGTGACCATTACATGAACTGCTGTTAGACTGTAATATACGAATGGACTTAGTTTTAGTTGTTCCTCATCAGTAAGAAGTTTCTGGACAGTGCACAGGTCCCAGTACACACCAGTGGGGTCCAATTATGTGCCATGAAGGTCCAAGAGTCTGCAGGCTTCCCTTTCAACTCCTTCCACATTACCACACCTTCGAGCACAGAGGGAGCATGTAATTATTGAAATGATTTCATGTTTATGAGGAGAGACTGCAGACACTTCAGAGCTCTAGACTTTTAAGTGTGTTCAAATCTCAGGGGGCTAGCTATCTGCGTACACGGTGTTAATGATCCTAAAATGATCAAAGGGGTTGAAATTATGATAATGACAGGGTCTATCTGAAGGTAGCTGAAGGTTTTAATCCTGTGTGAGCTCATACATAAACACCTTGTGCCTTTAAAATTTCGGGGCTCGTTTTAACTCTTCAGCTTAGAAGAGTCTGGACATAAAACTGTGAATCGGCAAAAGTCCAGCTGGGAGGGTTTTACCTGTAGGCAGCAATCAGCTTCATAAATATGTGAGTCTGCCTGGAGAAGTGAGAGCCTTACTGAGAAGATGAATCTAATAAAATGTAAAAACATGTGTTTTTTGCATGGTTAGTGTGTGAATTTAAGCATTAGCTCACTCACAAATGTGTATCCTTGCAGGCTGAAAAGACAGACAAAGAGAAGCAGGTTGGTTCGTTTGTAATATCACTCGTCGCCCTTCATCTCCACTTTGTGCTATGTGAACATTTCAGATTTACATTACTGAAAATACTACAATCGAAGTTCAGATTTTAAAAAATAATTCACTTAAAAGAGAGATTAATGGTGTCGACTTTCTTTTCCTAATTTCTTTTCTCATCTTTGCCCAAAGGACGACTCCAAGAGCAAAGAGGTGGGTGTTTAAAACACAGCTTATGTCTTTGGCTCAACCAGTGCAGTGAGTACAGGGATTTGTAAGACCTGGAAGTCTTCCAGGGCTTTATACTATTCAAAAAGAGTGGCAGTGCTGATGATTCTTTAGCCTGCTTTGTTTACATGGCATGGATGCTGGTTTTCCGGGCCACTTTGTACTTAACATCAGTCAGGATGACACGCCAGGCATGTTTGAGGCTACTGCTCACCCAGTTATTGGACCTAAAATTGAGGATAAATTGGTTAAAGTGCAGCTACCCAGCAGAAGAACAGCAGGAATCGAGCCATTAAACAAACAACAGAGAATCAACATCAAATCAACACGTTTGAACTCTAGCTCTGCCTCCTGGGTCTTTTTAAGCCTAATGAATATTCATTTAGCTAATTCAGAGAGCATTTTGAGTTGTCCTCAATTTAAAAGGACGTGTGTCAATATAAGGAACCACTTTCACAAATTCATATCTGGCTGATGTTTGTTTTTAATGGTTGGAAGGGTGGTCTGAGACAGCTGTAGCCTACATTAGCTGTTTATGCTGTACAAGTCCAGAACTGCAAACGCATCTTACAAAATTAGGTGTGTGTTATACTGACTGTGCGTGTGTGTGTAACAGCCTATATTTGACAGTGTTTGGCTGTTAGATTTGTGTTTGTGCAGGATACCAAATGAAAAGAAAAAAGGAGAAAAGTTTGTCTGATGTTTTTTGCTTTTTTCCTAATAGACAAAGGAGGAAGTAAACAAGGTTTGTTTATCCAGCCGTCCTCTTTCCCCTGTAGACCTCTGTCCTCTGCTGCCCCTCCAAAATGCCTCGCCTGACTTTAAAATCGTAGCTAATATGCATCCCTGCCTCATAGTTATCCCAACGTGCAACATTTATTCTGCGGGTAGTGACAGCAGAATCGAGCTTGCTGTTGTGAAGGATCGGCAGACACTTCCAGAGCGAATAAATATTTTATGCTTTTTTTTATATATATATTTCAGGGGGTTTTATGTATTTTGAATTCACTGGCCAAAAAAAGCAGCAGTGCTACAGAGTATGTGTGAAATTTTAGGCTTTAAGTGGACATTATGAAGAACAAAATGACCATATCTTAATATACACATGCAAAACATGTATTGCCAATTCAGAGTTACCAATTGACCTAACCTCTCTACCTGGATAGATAAGCAAAACTGTTTGTTCTATTAAAAAAAAAGGCAAGAAACTGTTGAACAATGCCAAGCTGAATGGGGGGGTGCTCACCTGAACTCATCTAATTTCATAATGGAAGCTCTGATTCATCGTGAGTGTGATGGTGTGCAGAGGGTTCCTCATGTCTGAGGAATTACAACACTGCAAACATAGAAATACGAGTACAAACATAGAAGTGCAGTCACACTTCATATAATCATATACAGTGGGGCAAAAAAGTATTTAGTCAGCCACCGATTGTGCAAGTTCCCCCACCTAAAATGATGACAGAGGTCAGTAATTTGCACCAGAGGTACACTTCAACTGTGAGAGACAGAATGTGAAAAAAAAATCCATGAATTCACATGGTAGGATTTGTAAAGAATTTATTCGTAAATCAGGGTGGAAAATAAGTATTTGGTCACCTCAAACAAGGGAAATCTCTGGCTCTCACAGACCTGTAACGTCTTCTGTAAGAAGCTTTTCTGTCCCCCACTCGTTACCTGTATGAATGGCACCTGTTTGAACTCATCATCTGTATAAAAGACACCTGTCCACAGCCTCAAACAGTCAGACTCCAAACTCCGCCATGGCCAAGACCAAAGAGCTTTCGAAGGACACCAGGAAAAGTATTGTAGACCTGCACCAGACTGGGAAGAGTGAATCTACAATAGGCAAGCAGCTTGGTGTGAAAAAATCAACTGTGGGAGCAATCATCAGAAAATGGAAGACATACAAGACCACTGATAATCTCCCACGATCTGGGGCTCCACGCAAGATCTCATCCCGTGGGGTCAAAATGATCATGAGAACGGTGAGCAAAGATCCCAGAACCACACGGGGGGACCTGGTGAATGACCTGCAGAGAGCTGGGACCAAAGTAACAAAGGTCACCATCAGTAACACACTACAACGGCAGGGAATCAAATCCCGCAGTGCCAGACGTGTTCCGCTGCTGAAGCCAGTGCATGTCCAGGCCCGTCTGAAGTTTGCCAGAGAGCACATGGATGATACAGCAGAGGATTGGGAGAATGTCATGTGGTCAGATGAAACCAAAGTAGAACTTTTTGGTATAAACTCAACTCGTCGTGTTTGGAGGAAGAAGAATACTGAGTTGCATCCCAAGAACACCATACCTACTGTGAAGCATGGGGGTGGAAACATCATGCTATGGGGCTGTTTTTCTGCCAAGGGGACAGGACGACTGATCCGTGTTAAGGACAGAATGAATGGGGCCATGTATCGTGAGATTTTGAGCCAAAACCTCCTTCCATCAGTGAGAACTTTGAAGATGAAACGAGGCTGGGTCTTCCAACATGACAATGATCCAAAACACACCGCCCGGGCAACAAAGGAGTGGCTCCGTAAGAAGCATTTGAAAGTCCTGGAGTGGCCTAGCCAGTCTCCAGACCTCAACCCCATAGAAAATCTGTGGCGGGAGTTGAAAGTCCGTGTTGCTCGGCGACAGCCCCAAAACATCACTGCTCTCGAGAAGATCTGCATGGAGGAATGGGCCAAAATACCAGCTACTGTGTGTGCAAACCTGGTAAACACCTATAGTAAACGTTTGACCTCTGTTATTGCCAACAAAGGTTATGTTACAAAGTATTGAGTTGTATTTTTGTTATTGACCAAATACTTATTTTCCACCCTGATTTACCAATAAATTCTTTACAAATCCTACCATGTGGATTCATGGATTTTTTTTTCACATTCTGTCTCTCACAGTTGAAGTGTACCTCTGGTGAAAATTACTGACCTCTGTCATCATTTTAGGTGGAGGAACTTGCACAATCGGTGGCTGACTAAATACTTTTTTGCCCCACTGTATATATATATATCTATATATCTATATCTATATCTATATATATATATATATATATATATATATATATATATATATAGATAGATAGATATATATAGATATAGATAGATAGATAGATAGATAGATATAGAGATATAGAGATATAGATATATATAGATAGATATGAAATGTGTCTTCTACATTAGAAATGCATGATGTGCTCAAAGTACAATAAAGAGATGTGACAATGATTGGTCTATTTAATTTTATTTACTACTTAGATATCTGTAAGTCAAAGCTGTAGCTCAGGAAGTAAGGCAGGTTGTCTGCTTTACTCTAAGCTGTCGTCAGTGCATCCGTCATTGTGTGTGTGTGTGTGTGTGTGATGGTTAGAAAGTGCTTAAATGCCTCGAATATTAAATGTAGTGCCTTGTAATAAAAAGCGCTTTGAGTGCTCAGTTAGATTAGAAAGGTGCTATATATTTACCAGTCTATTTCATTTGTAGCATCTCCCATTTGACGTGGCTTTATTCTACAGTTTCTGTTTATTAAAACAAATTTACGGAGCATGCTACAATAACAGAGGATGAAAAACATTTTGTGTGCTCTCTTCTACCTCCTGGGTATCTTGAAATTTTGGGAGCCTTTTTACAAAACTAAGAGCACTGATTGGCCTCCCTGTAACGACACTTTGCATGTGAATTATGGCTACTTTGTGTATTTGAATTCGACAATATTCTTCAGATTTTGTCAGGTAACATATAGCAGCTGTTGTTTGTCTAAGTGCATAGTATGTATATGTTTTCTGTGGGGCTTCAAATAAACACTGGGAGGCTTAAGGCCTCACTTGCAGTATGCTAATATCGGATATCATTGATTATGTGAGTTGCCAAAAAAAGAAAGCACTGAGCAGCGTACCTTAGCAGACAGCAGTGAAACATTGGACTCCTACCTTCAATGTCAGTGTCCTCTTTTGCGTCCCTTGTAGCATCCCAATAAACCAGAGGCAATAAAGTAAAAGCTTTTATTAAAATCACCCACTCATCCTTACCCAATCCACTTGACATTACAAAAGCCCACCCAAAATAAACCCTATTTTTACCTGCTATGATAATAATAATAATGAGGTAAAAACACAGCCCTGTGTTTGTGTACTTTGTGTTTTAAATCTCCTGCACATTATTGTGTGATTATTCTCTTTACTTTTTTGTAATTTTCCTTTTCATTTTGCCTTTCTGTCTATCTGGCAAGACTGAAGCTACCACTGCGACCAAGAAGGTACGGCTGGGTGTGAGAGAAGGATCAGAGTCTGACAAACACATAGTGCCTGTAAAGGACACCTCTAATTGGAGGCTGTGATTCTATAGACAGGAGTGTTTCTGTGAGTGTGTGTGTGTATGTGTGTGTGTACCTGTTTAGACATCTTTGGGGGGCCCACCAATTTTGGGGACCAACAGTCATTTGTGAGGACAAAAGTGCCTGTCCTCATGGGTTTGAAGCCATTTTTGAGACTCAAAATGTGGTTTTAGTGTCAGGGTTGGGTTATGGTTAGGTTTAGGGTAAAGTTGAGGGTTAGGAATGTATTTTTCATGGTTTAGGTAAATGGCTAGGGACAGCATTATGTCAGTTAGAGGTCCCCACAAGACATGAATACCTGACGTGTGTGTGTGTGTGTGTGTGTGTGTGTGTGTGTGTGTGTGTGTGTGTGTGTGTGTGTGTGTGTGTGTGTGTGTGTGTGTGTGTGTGTGTGTGTTCAAGCTTACAGGTGCTTTTCTAACCTGAAAGCTGTCCTCATAGTCACTTTCTTTCTCCTCCCAAAGTTCACATGAATTATACTTAGAGAATTGAGGATTTGTAGATGACACCAACACATGATGAACAGTGCTGTTGGGTTTGTAAAGAAGGTAAATGCGAAATGTAATGTAAAAGCACAGCATGTCATTCTTAGCAGTTAGTTGAACACACAAAATTTGGCAGGAAACTTGAGAATAATATTGATTTTTTTTCTTTTCTTTTAAGCTAATGATGGTAGCACTCTGCAGAGGGTTAAGTGTGTAAATAAGAGACGAGCACAGCTTCTAGGTCTGATAAATGAAAGCCAGTGTTGTTCTAATGGCCCGAACAAATAAGTGTGTTTGCATAGATGTCTGTAAAAATTACTTGATGCTGGCTTGATCTGTGGCCTATTCAGTTTGAGTTACTATAGCATGATGTTCACTGGGTAAATTGTGAATTACAGTAAGAAACATAAACCATAAAGCAGGATATGCTTTGCTACCTTGTTAATGAGTGCAGAGTACAGTGAGCTTGTGATTTGTATTTATATACCACATATAAACGCTATTATCTACTATTCCAGTTTCAGTCATTACACGTTCTCCGTTTATTATACTGCCTAATAATATTACAAAGGATTGTTGATGTCGTGGAGTTTTCAAGGACATCTCAAATGTGCACGGTCACTTACAAATTTCTGTCAGAATGTTTATGTTCAACACTTTAGCGTTCACGCCCACGCCGCGGTGCATTTGCGTTTTGGATTCAGACCAGAACAGATTTATTCTGAAAGGCCTGAGTTTGCAGTCCAACCTTTCACTTCACTCACTGCAACATTTCTCAATTAAAATGCAAAACGCTAAAACACTGTCACTTGAAAGTCGTGACCCTCCTTTAGTCCAATTATATGTTCTGGCAGTGTGCCCAATGTCTTCTAGCTAATAACACAGTTCCACAGTTATTGATGGCACACTTTCTGCAAAGATGGGATCCCTTATCTTGTAGTCGTCTAGCCACTTGACTGGTGTAACACGCGGTGAATGCTTGAGGTCCAGCATACTAATGGGCTTAAACCTTCAGGTTGTATTTTAGTTTTATTGAAGGACTGTTACCAGGCTTCTCAAGGCCAGTTTATCTTGCAGGCTCAGTCTCGGCGTTTTTGTCGAAACGAAACAGTCGATTGTTGCTGAGGGTTTGTAGCCTTCTGCGTCCACAGTTATTCAATCACTCTGCCTAATGAGACCTTTGCTTTGCTATGTTGAAATTTATGTCATGTCACCAAACTCCCATAAGATTTATTGGTGTTTAATTTGTCCCACCCCGATGGTCTCGACAGAAGAGAGATGTGTCAATTCAAAACCTGGTCTGGACACGCCCACACAGTCCACACACGCCACACAGGTCTAACCAGGGTGCCCAGATGTGTGATGTGCAGCAGCACATGTTGTGCTTTGTGGGTTTTTTGGTAGTTTTCGAGCAGGGAGTTGCATATTTACGTTTTCTGTGGCATTTGGGTTGGAGTTAAGGGTCATTTTTTGCATGAATGATCACACGATCTTTTAATTTTACATGTGTGCAAATTGAAAACATGGCACACGTTAGATACAGATGTTAGTTACATACTTGCAGAAGCTGAAAAGAGAACATAGAAAACATAAAATATTAAAGGAGTTCCACTTTTCGAAAGCACGGACCTCTGTTAAAGTCAAGCTGCTCCTCCGACTGTGCGCGCACTGGTTTCTGTGTTCGAGGCAAAACAGTAAAAATCTATTTTATTTTTCAAATTAAATCATGGCTGCTTTACCTACAGGGCGCAACTGAAACCCAGAAATGTGCAGCGCTCGTATTTCAGGGAGTCCATTAAAAGAGAGGTTAGCCTGGTCATTTAAAATCATTTAATATAAAGCTGCTGTGTTTGCAGCTTCCTTATTTCTGCTCGAAACGTCAGCCATCAGGTTTATTATCGTCTGTTTTGTTCACAACACTTTTATCCTCACAAAGTTGACTCATGGGAAGCCTTATGGAAAGCAGGTGATGGCTTCCTGCTAAGAAAAGGTGAAATAGTTTTTACTACAGACTTCAAACTTCAGAGGTGTATTTATATATTCTCTACTCTTAAGGAAGTGGCATGCACTCTACAGCTCGAAGTATCCTTTTCACGCTGGTAAATAGCTTTTAAGAGGCATAAAAGGAGTCATCATCCGTATCGCCCATTACATATGTGATTTCTTTACAACTCGGCCTTTCCAATGTGCATTTTAGTCAGCATTTACTTCCTGTTTGCCTACCTATCAAACTGCAAATACGCCCAAACTGTAAGTCGCTGTGTGACTCACGCGCTCGCAGTCATCAGTGTCTAACCTACCGTGAAAGAAATGTGGTGTTACACACAGCTCATCATCTTTTCAGCACGCTTCCTGCAGTAGAGCTCGTGCACGCGTTTTGTACGACTTCTGCCTTTTCGTCTAACTCCACAGTCTGGTTCATACATATTTACTGAGCCTGGCTCACAGGTTGTAACAATGTCATGGATTATTGGATTCATTTACATTTTTCTAATTTCAATCTTATCATTTGTTTATAAATTTATGACTCAATAAATGTAAATGATTTCTGAATGTACTTTATATTTTCTATGCATACATGTAGCATATATGTATATTAAGGTTATTGCGGCTTTAGTGATCCAGCCCGCTCGAGATCAAACTGGGCTCCTTCTAGTTCGTTAAATGAAAACGAGTTTGACAGCCGTGCTGCAGAAGCACAGGATACTCGGCCGCAAAGCTGCATCCGATTCATGCTTGAGGTTTTTGCAGTCTATCGAGCAGACTGTGGAACTGCTAATAAAAGTTTGAAATAACCTGTGAACACCTCCTCTTCCTCTTCCCTTCTGCTCCTGCTCTTTTATGTGTGCTGCAGCTGGATACTGAGGCGGCTGACATCCTGAACGATCTGCAGGTGAAGCTCAGCACCGTCCTGGACAATTTCAGCACCATGTTTGCTAAGAGGTAAAAATGCTCATTTCCTGGTGTCTTAATCAAGCCAACTAAAAGCCCAAGCCAAGCTTATCCTGATAGAGCTGGAACCTAACACACACACACACACACACACACACTTGAATGACTGAGCATTCACCGCCTTTGCAGAAGTCTTTTTCCTCTAAGTTTGCCTCGGTCTCTGCCTCCAGTTTCCAGACTCGCATTAACGGCTGCATGCGTCAGATGGCTGAGATTCTCTACCAGATGAAAGGCCCCCCCAACCACAGCACCGCTGAGGCAGACGCTGACACCATGCTGAGGCCCCTCATGGAGTTTCTGGATGGGAAGTAAGTAGCTAATGTTGTAAAGTAGATTATATCAGAGTACACCACCAGAGTGACTGTCCTAACTTGAATGTACTCTTGAAGTTTTAAGTCATTAATTTCATGGATTAAATGAAACGTGTATTTCCATTAACCCAAATGATTTTTTACTTTCTGCGAGTTAAAATCGATCCAGCTTGGCGGTACCGCAGTGCTCATAGGTAGAAACTTCCGAGACATTTTTTTTTTTTACCTTAATATTTTATGGCTGCAAGCTGCTATAACTCATATGTGTGTTTTTTGTCTCATTATTTATTGGTACAGAGTGTGCTGTTTGGAATATCATATGAACAGTATTGCAGTACGGGGGAAACATAGATTCAAAATATGAGTATGCAAAGTGATGAGACAGAGCAAAGGCTCCAGCTGAAGGTTCAAGATAGTGACTGAAGTCACCGGAGACACTTGTGTTGGTGGAGCAGTGTAAACAGATGGCTGATGGAGTCAGGACGACCCAGATGAGGTGGAGATGGAAAGGACGAGCGCTGCACAATAAGCAGCCTTAAACACAGAGACATCTCACAATGAATTTAAAGATCAGGGAGTCACTGGCTTGAAGGGCAGATAGATTACTGGGTAAGACTGGTGACATTCAAATTTTGAATGAGGGGAATTTGAATTGGTTAAAGCTCCAGCAACACTTGTAGTATATAAAACAACTTGACCATCAACCAGCGTGTGTTTGTGTCAGGTTGTGGCCTTCATCGAAGTCGTCGTGTGACAAATTACAGACAGCATTTTAAAGTACAAACGTATGGAGTAACAGGAGGGGCCTGTTGGTAACAAAGGGGCTTGTCCTACAGTGTCTTTAAGCTGAACAGTGTCTGTACCTTACAGTATAAAGAGCCTTAAGGCGACAACTGTTGTGTTTTGGCACTTTTAATCCACTTTTAATCCACTACAAGAGCTTATTAAAAAGAAGTTGATGTAAAACATGTACACAGTAGAAAAGATAGACCTAGCTGCATTCTTTTAGTGGCCACCAGGGGGCAATACCTGTGGATTTAAGTAGAAGTCTGGGAGAACAGCTGGCTGTGAGGTCTTGTAAACACCTTCCTGATGACTTGAAGGTCTCACTCATTTCAGAATAAAACATTATAGGTTAAGAAAGGAGGATTATCCACCGTTTGCTCGTTGGCTTATGACTGAAAACAGATGAGTCGTTAAAAAATGACCATGCACCCCAAATCCCAAAACTCACTACAATATGCTCCAGTCCCTCAGAGACCCTCAACTGGACAAAGTGGTAGAAAGTCGATGGAAACAGAAAAGTTAAAATGCTTCTGTGTTCATCCTGAGAGAATTATCATCACTACCTCTGATCAAATGAGCTGAATTCTTTACTCTGTTTCATCTGCTCGCCTGAACTGCTACAGGACTCAGAGCCTTTAGTTGCTCCAGGCCTTGGAGGACACTTCCACCAGATCTCCAGACCATCAACTTTCTATTTTTAAATTGCGCCTCAAAGTCCATCTGTTTAGAACTACACACCTCTCAATATAACATGGTTATTAATGATATACCTTATTATTATTATTATTATTATTATTAAATAAAACAAGGAGAGATTTAACAGAAACCCAGCATCATAACATCTTAATATGTTTCATCTTTTTGCGTCACCTGATCAGGCCGTATCTTTGCTTCCATAGCAATCAAATTATTTCGATGAATGAGGCCTCAGCTATGAGACAGAGCGTGCTGTACAATCACAACAAAAAGGGTTTTTTTTAGCAACATTGATATTTGCTTCTTATCTGTTTCACTGGAATATCTGGATTTTTTATTTTCATTTTGAAAAAGCCAGATGTATCCTTTGTCATCATGTTCGTGTTAGTTTTTCTTCGTTATTTGTGTTTGTGTCAGTCTTTTGTGCAGCACATGGGCACAGAGTGACACGGTCCCTCACATTTTTCCGTGTTTGCTTGTAATCCAGTCTCAGTATTTTTGCTGACATCTGTGAGAAGACGGTGCTGAAGAGGATCTTAAAGGATCTGTGGAAGATCGTCCTGAGCAGCCTGGAGAAGACCATCGTGCTGCCTCAGAGCAATGACAGCTTGGTGAGCACATTAACCAGCACAACTGAGTGGCCATCAAAAGTCCAGCGTTTACATACTCATGAGATTACTCTGGGGACAGTAAAGGAGATGGAAAACACACACACACAAGGACACATTTATGAAAGGACAACCATCTAGGACAGTTTGTCCCAATTTGTATTGATTTCTCTTTTAAAACTTTTTTGGTAATATGTCTGAGACAGAGTTGTTTCTTGCTGGGGGTCAAATCTAACCAAATTTAGAGACAGTTGTATTTATTATGTTTTTCTGTCTTCTCAGCATCATACTAATTTTCCTAAATGTACTAAATTAGTTTACAAAAATAATTTTTTACAGAAAAAAACAAAGTAAATAGAGTTTACAGCTAGCTTATACATGACCATCTTTAAGTGTGATGCAGTGTGCTGCAGATCCAGCCCTGTGTTGCCATCTAGTGTCCGACATCAGCATTTTTACAAAACGACTGCTGCTGTTAGATTTCTTTAATGTTGCAGTAATAATGAAAAAATGAAGGTTATTAAGATTTCATATATTCCGCCTCTCTGTCTTTCTCTCTGCAGGGAGCTCAGCTCCTCACAGCAGCTAAAGGACTTTCTAACCTCAAGGTAACACACGTAGACTGTCGATAAAGGGCGTAGCTGCCTTTATGTTTCATTGTAAATTCTTATTACAGTTCAATAATAACCCTGCAGTTTGAATCGTAGGTAAAGTCAGTAAACCTGCACAAGTCGCAGTACATTCAAATCCATTTTACCACCTTCACAGCTCATAACTGCAAACTTCCAGACTTTCTTTAATAGTTAGCTGTAGTTATTATCCAGCATCAGGACTTACTGATGTGTGCTGTGTGCTCATGATCTGGTTTTGTGTATCTGTGATGTATAACTTCTCTGACTTCTGTAGGGAGGAGGTGAAGCCAAAACCCTGACGCCCAAGCAGTGCATAATTATTGATGCAAGCCTCGAGTCAATCAAGGTAGGTGAACACCTACATCTCTTTTACAGCTTCATTTTTCCGTCTCACTGCCGTATTTGAAGTGCCTGGATGAGCTTAGAGTTTAGAAGAAAATTGTATTACTCTTCAATACTCTTCAGTATTGAGATGTTCCTCTAAAGTGAGCATTTCCTCACTTCCACCTTGCCACTTCCTTTCCTTTCAGCAATATTTCCACGCAGGAGGAAATGGGCTGAAGAAGGCGTTCGTCGAGAAAAGTCCTGAACTGGCATCGCTGCGTTACGCCCTCTCCCTCTACTCCCAGAGCACCGATGCTCTCATCAAGACCTTTGTCACCACACAGCACTCCCAAGGTGATCGCACACACACAAAGTTCACTCGCTGCACGCACAGTGTGGATGATTTTTGTCTTCTCTGTGGTTCAAACCGAGCTAAAATGTTCCTTAAACTTTTCTCCCCCTCCCTGTCCTCTCAGTGCATGATGGGATGGGCATCAGAATCACCGCCAATGAGAAGATCAGACCTGATAGGGGTAAGTCTTTGATACAAGAAGAACTCGCTAAACTCCGAGTAAAATAGACCCCAGGAGGTGGAGTGCTCCTCACCATGAATCAACACAGAAACAGAACCAACACCTTCACACTCGTGTAGAGCTGGAGCCCCTCGCAGCTCACAGTTAATATTAAAGAGGAAAATAATGAGAAAAGTTTGGAGAATTTTGGAAATGTTGCTATCACAGCGATGAGCTTTAATGAAAGGTCCTTTTGCACCCTTGAAACAAAGCGCATGCCTCCTCTCCTCCTCCCTGTATTTGACTGGACTTTGGTGATTCGCTGTTGTTGATGGTGTAACATTTCTGCCACCCAACTCTCCATTATCAGCTTGTGTGGAGATTAAATTAACAAGCTTGCCCAAAGCAGAAATAAAGAAATGAAAATGGGTCACTGAAGCCGCCATAAGAAGTGAATTACACAGTGAGTGAAGTTTAAAGATGTGTTTAATCGCGTTAGTGTGTGATACCGCTCCGGCTGTGTCGTGCAGGTTCGGGGGTAGATAAGCCGATCGGAGAGGCCTTGCTGCAGATCGACATGCTGCTCGGCAAAGAGCGCAAGGTCAACGTCAAAGGTGAGACGCACGCATACAGATGTGTTTAAATCACAACAACAGACCTCGTCTCCACACGGAGCAGATCTGTTCAAACATTTGAATTTAAACTTAGGAGCAAATTTTGACCAAATCAAGTAAACTTGGGGTGAACTCGAAATGCTTTCTTATATCTTCAGTAGTTTCTTATCATTTTTTCACTCTTGTGTTTGTAAATCTACATGCGTGCATGCAGTAGCATCACCCCCACTGCTTTGTGTTTGTCTCTCTTGTCCTTTATCTGCTCACCCTCTCTCTCATCTCCCCTCCAGTCATCGCGGTGAACGACATGAAGTGGCAGACGTCTGGGATGTTTCGGCCTTTCGTCGACGTCTCCATGGTCGGTCCATTCCTGGCTGACAAGAAGCGCAAGTTCACCACAAAATCCAAGAACAACAGCTGGACGGCTAAATTCAACGAGGCTTTCCAGTTGTGAGTTGGAAATCTGAAGCGCCAGCAAGTAAGATTGTTGAGTGGGTTGAGATACCGCAGATGGTTAATTGTTTCCTCTGCTCGCAGCGTCCTGGGTAAAGAATCCCCGGACTGCTACGAGCTGCAGGTGACGGTGAAGGATTACTGCTTTGGACGGGCGGACCGGGTGGTCGGCGTGGCCGTCGTTCAGCTGCGCGACGTGGCCGACCGCAAGAGCTGCGTGTGCTGGTGTCCTCTCGGGCCACGCGTTCACACCGACGAGACGGGCATGACGGTGATGCGTATCCTGTCCCAGCGTCCTGCTGACGAGGTGGCCAAAGAGTTTGTCAAGCTGAAATCGGAAACTCGCCCCGCGGAGGAAGGCAGATGAGCCGAAACGGGCTTTACTGAAAGCGAGGTTTAGAAGCGCGGCTTTGTCTGTGAGCAGCGTTTCACCTTCATCCTTAACTAACGGAGACCCTTCTGACTGATGACGTACGAGTTTATCATAGTTGGAATAAGAAAAATGGATTTGTTAAAAAGGGCAAATTTTGAGGAAGAGATCGTCTCTCAAAATGTAAAAAAAAGACTTTTCATAGCACCAGTTTGCGATACCAGTCCTGTCAATGGATTTTATATCAGACGATGACTTTAGAGAGAATCACCGATCCAACCAACCCTACGAGAAAGCTCTCAGCAACGACAGACACAAAACAAAAGTCTAAACAGGAAGAAACTTCTGAAAACGTTCTCAGGAACGGCAGCTGTGATCGTTTCAGGTGAAGGGAAGCTCAGCATAGCATCTATCCAGTTAACTTTGCTTTTTTTTGTGGTGTCATTTCATAATTTAATATTTTAGTGAGTTAATCTGGATAAAATCATTCTGACTTTCAAAAACCACCGAGATACTTGACCGCGCGACACATTTTAAAACTAGACCTGATCAGTAACCTCTGAAGTTTAGCAGCAGGACGACAGCTCAAACACTCCCCTTTCACTCATGCGTCTATAAACGACCTCCCTCTGTTTTTTCATGACTCCAGGGGCCCCTGCTGACCCTCAGTGAGGCCGACGCCACTGTAGGCCTAAGTCTTTGCTCACCCTCCATAAACTTTGTGAAATGTGTTTCAGGGTGTAGTCCTTGCTGGTGAATTGACTGTCTGTTGACTGTGAGTATCACTGAGATTACACGAGCCCATATTCTTCTATAATGTTTGAGCCTTTGAGGCCTTTAAACTCTTTACAGACACCGTGTGTGTGGAACAACCTCTGGATCCAAAACCTAATGTCATGAAAACACACTACAGTGAACAAATGCTTTATTTGATTTGTTGCAGAAAGCCGAAACTTTTAAGACTGATACACAATTTAGTCGTAGACGGAGTTGTAACTGTAACGCACATATGTTTATTAACACAACTTAAGAAAGGACTAGTCGTCACACAGTAGTCAGGCTATGCATTATCCACAGAGTGAGCGTCACACATTTGCAGCCAAATTTAACAGTGTGAAATATTGTGATACAGCGTCAGATCCTGATGATTTGCAGGTAATTAAACAGGAAATGCCTCAGACGTGTTTTTCCCTTTGATGTTAGCTTCAGACTGATCTATAGAACCTGCAGGAGCACTAATACGGGCTGTGGTTTGATTTTGTAGCAAGTTTTTATGGATTGCGTTGCCTTAAAATAAGCAGATGAGTTAGCTAACGAAGCTAGCCTGCTTTAAGAGACTTGAAATATGACAACACTGACTTGTAAATTAAAAGAAAAGAAAAGATGTTATTCAGAAGCAAAAACTCTGACTGACTGCTGGGCCGTTGGGTGTTTGAGGTTTTGATCTAATGCTAATTTGTGATGGTGACAAAATGCTGTGAATGGAAACAACAGCTGAAAAACCCTTTTAAGTGTTACGTAGCGTGAACACGAATATAGGACCAAACATGATCATTCCATTTCGTTTACTTTAACAGTTTTTACAAACTAGGACAGATGCAATCAGCCGCCGCAGCCTCGCCGCGCGTGCACCGTCACATATTTGACCGTGGCATTTTGCATTAACGTAAAACTTTGAAGGAAAATACAGGCAGAGCAAACAGGCCGGTTTGAACGGACTGACTGTAAGTGGGGTTTTTTCCACCCTCTTGTCTGTTTATGTGCCAAGGACCTCCGTGTTCAGCGAGCCTCATTCAGCTTTCTCTCATGTTTCGGGTTGTATTTGACAGATGTGGCCTTTGCAGACATCCCACTTTTTACTTTTCCAAACTGGCTGCACGAAAGCAACTAGAAGTGAGCCACATCTGTAGTTACACCCGAACTCTTGCACTCTGTTTCACTGTAAGTTTGTAAGAAATGAAACCAATGCCTACATCCAGAGCATGTATTTATTGTAAACAGTCCGCTAGAATTGTGATTTCCTTTCCCCCATGTATGTACTGTGAAATATGAAGACTGTATGTAAAGTACTTATCATTATTCTAATGTGACACATGTTAAATATACTTGTAACATTATTTTGTACATAAAATATTTATGAATCAAGGCAGCGCCTCGTGTCTTTGGTCACAGAGCTCGCTGTTCCCACTCAGCACGGCAGCTCCGGTCAGTGATTCCTGCCTTACCTGAGCGCCACACTCAGTTGCACACCTGCTCTCCAGGTTTAATCTTTCTGTCTTTGCAAACACACACCTTCAGTCTTCATCACGGTAACTGTTGGTTTAGCTATAAAAATTCACAGAAAAAAAACCGTTTAAACTAAAGAGCACGAACCACAAGGCCCCGGGTACTGTGGGTGTTCTGGGGTAGCGGTGCTTGGGATGTTTTGCGTGGCTTGTGCAGGCTCTATTATTCTGGGTACTCAGAGACTGTTAAGTGCACTGGTGATTTTAAATGGTTGTGGGCTGGATAAGTACTTAAAGGTGTATTGCATAAAGTGCTGCATGAATGGCCAGTAAGACTGCAAAAGCGCTGTATACATGCAGGTCGATTCTGTTTTTGTCTGATTTGTAGCTCATCTTTATGATGCATTAATACTGTAATCCTGCTCAGCCGGTCGTTGATGAACATACAGTCAGGGAGAGCTGCTCATTTAAGTCTGAATGACTGTTTTTTATAATTTGGAAGAAATAAATAATGTCGAGAAAATAACTGACTATTCCCCAGATGTCACAGCACAGAGTTTACTACACGTTCGAATGACCACAGCGTGAATCATCAGGTGAGTAATGCTGCTGTGGTGTTTGATTCTAATTTCCAGGTGTTTCACAGTTACCTTATGTTGATGCTTTTTTCTGGTTGCTTTAAAGGTAATCCACAGGTGACAGGGAAAAAACATGAGCCCAGAACTGAATGACTGGCATCTACATTCACTTCCTTTTTGGATGCCTTCCTTGTTTTATTTAACGATTATTAAAAAAATTTTGATCACGTTCAGAAAAATAACTGGTGAAGCAAATTCCCAGAAGAGAGAGCAGGTCATCTACTGATCGGAAGGTTGGTGGTTCGATTCCTGGCTTCCCCTAGCCTGCGTGCCAAATATCCTTGGGTAAGATATTAACCCCAAATTGCTCTCTGATGCATCCATCGGAGTATGAATGTGTGTGAATGTTACTTAGAAAGCACTTAGAACAATGTGCTTGTGCGAATGGGTGAATGTACAAGTTGTGTAAAGCGCTTTGAGTGTTCAGAAAGAAGAAAAGATAAGAACAAGTCCATTTACAATTTACCATAGTGTCACATTCTGAGTTATTACAACACTGCCTGTATCTAAACTCTGTCCAGTTTGGTTTTTACATTTGTTTTGCATCAGTATAGTTTTTGGTCTTTGAATCTGTGAAGCATCAATGTTGGAACGTACCATGAAAGCTTCAAATCAAACAAAACAAATATTACAATTATTCCATTTTTATTTCTGCACAGCTGTGTTAGTACAGCTTTGAGTCAGACTAACACGATTCACTCACTGGAATAGCAGGAATAATATATACTGTATATTTTACCAAACAAGAGGACTTATTATATTCATTTCTGCCTTCATATTTTTAGTCTTGGACTTAAAACTTAAATATTAAATTATATAATAAATTACATTAATGCAATTCTTTGAAAAACATATTCAGATGAAAGCGTTTTTTGTTTTTTTTTGTGAATGCAAGTTGATTGTTAACACAGTCATGTGAAAAAGAAAGCAATGAGCTCAAGCGCAGCAGCAAATCTCCAACAGAATGCTGAAAAAGAAAAGACTCGTGGTGCTGCAATGGTCCGGTCAATATCCAGACCTCAACCTGACTGAGATGCTGTTACAGGACCTTAGGAGAGCTGTGCATAAACCAATACCTGCAGATGTCAACGAGCTGAAGTAATGACGGTGCTGAAGGTGGTTCTATGAGCTACTGAATGACGCGATTCTTAGTTTTCACTGCAGAGTCCTGTGAAATGTTCTTTTTGACATGACAGTGTATGTTCAGGGAAAGCGTGATCACTAGAGGCACAGCTGATAAATGATGAATCAAAAAAAGGACAAATAGCACAAAATTTAGTGCATTTTGCAATAAATTCAAATATTTAGAGTTTTACTTTAATTTTACTGCATCTATAGAAAATACTTCCTTGCACATGGACAAAGTTTGATACTAATTGAACATTACTGGTTTCAGCTGTTTGTTTACACCGTATCACGCTGTGGTATAACCAGCTCATTTATTTGGCGCCTGTTTGAAACACCAGTGCTGAGTAAAGATAAAATGGGCTGAAAATCTGGGATCCGTGATGTCGGAGAGGAGAGTGGGTGGAGTTTCTAAATAGATGCCACATGAATACGAGTCACCCAGCACTGAGATATAACACTATTAATCCACACGACATGTTCAAATCAAGTATGTCAGGCTGTGCTTTCTGAGCGGCTAAACATCGCTGATCTGATGACATCATCTTTGTTATAACTGACTGTCGCACTCCACTTCCACGTGGTCGCCAGACTTCCCGTTGTTCTGCGCGGGCTGTAAATGATCAGGAAGCAGGACCTCAACACTGTAGCTGATGCGTTTGGCCTGGAAGATGCTGTAGGTGTTGTCGAATCTCAGCACATCTGTGGAGGACAGAATGGAGTATTTAGACAGTTGGGTTTAACATCACAGAAGCACTCGAACACAAGGCCACTCACAGACTCCTGGACGCTCACAGGTCAGTGAGCCATCCTCGGGTACTAAGTGGGCATTGTATCGCTGACTGGGCACGATTTCCTCCATCTCAGCCGCCTTCTTCCATTCACCCTTTTTGGCCTTTTGAAAGACCCCAAATCCGATGTCTCCACCGTCACTGGCAAACTGCCACCTAACAGGATGTAAAAATGCTTTGAATTAGCAAAGCCTTTATTTTGAAAGCTAGACTGTGCTCTACAGTGGTACGGACGTTAGCCGTGGTTTCTCACAACCAAGATGGTGATGGCAGAAACGCTTGTCTCGAGGCTACACAATGGGACTTTAGAAACCAGTGAATGATGTCACTATGGTCTCACTACAGCTGGGAGAGGACGAACTACGACGGGGCACATTCTTCCCGAGCAATAAGTGGCAGCTCAGGTTGACTGGGACCCTACTCACTTGATTTTACGTTGTCAGCATGACTGTCACATGTTCAAAATAGCAAACCTAACTTTGTTCTGTTTCTTCTTTTGTCACGATTCTGTGCTTAAAGTTTAAAGATGTAGCTGATTTAATCTTCCTCTTTTTCCAGCTGTAGCTTGAACAGAGACCCTTTTGGTTTGTCGTTTGATTTCTTGTGATATAAGTGAACGGAATAAGATCATTTTAAAGATATGGATTGATCTATTTCCCCACGCTCCAAAAATGGATGGCGTGCGTCAACCTTTAATCGCACAATGAATGAAGTGAGTGACTTCACAACAAGCTGGCGTGATGAGCCATAATCATATCAGAGCTCTGCGGCTTTGAGTCACGCTGTCTCTGTAATGATTCTTTTTAAGACCTCTTAGCTACGGCTCATCGACTCCACTCTGAGAAATTTACAGACACTATTCTTTCTACATGACTGTCTCCTTTTGACAGGACCTTTAATCATAGACTGTATGACTTTTATCACTGACCTGAGAACGCAGCCGGGGAACAAGATCTCAAAGTCCACTTGCTCTGAAGAAACTCGGCTGATGGTCACAGACTGCTCGTAATCCACCTTCACATGGTCTCGCACGTAGTAGGAGGGAGGAACTGGTCCAACATGGTTTATCTGCAGCAGAGAGTCAAAAAAAACAGGCGTCAAATACTCACATAGACAATGAGTGAGAGGTTTGAGAGCAGAAAAGTGAAGGAAAAAAGAAAAGGCTTCACTTACTGTGCCATTATACAGCTATGAAAGCCTGTAAAATGTCTAGTTGTGCACAAAACTGGTAAAAATGTTATAAAGGAGCAAAGTGTTCTCTCTTTTCGGTTTTTCTTTTTATTCACATAAAGTCAAACCAATGATGTTCAGCGATTTCCTATAACAGTGCAATACAGGATGCAACCAGCAGAGGGCAGTGACTTCCTGGTGAGACCTGAGCTGCCTGTATTGTTGAATTAATGTCCATCGGTCCAGCAGGTGACGAGCAGGTTAACAGCACGAACAGACAGACAGAGCTCCCAACTGCAGGTCGAGGTTGAGAAAAGCTGTCACGGTTTCACAAAGTGTCCCGTAAAGTTTTCAGCTGCTTTTGGATGTCAGCTTTATTGTGGAGGAAGTCAAACTATTGTGTAACCACTTCTCTAAAAATCTTGCAGATATGAACCTTTAGATGATTTTATTTTATGACTGCCACAGAAAAACGAACAGGTACAGAAAAGAAAGGCAGAGGCAAAGAATGAAAACAAAACTAACAGCAAGTGAGAAGAACATCAGTCTGATTCATTTACACAGTTCATACAGAAGGAGGAAGAGTGACGGGGAAAAAACCCTGTGAGGTGCATAAGGCGCTATGTATGTTTCATTTTGTTTAAAGTAGGTTTTTAAAATGAAGTAAATTTCTCAGATTTGTGTCCCCGACCACTCGGCTCCTGTTGGAAACAGAAAGTTGCATTTATCGATTTTCTCTTCTCTCCTTTTACACTCGTGTTGTTCCAGAGAGTTTTATTAGTAAAGCACTTAATAATCTTGTTATTTTAAAAGCTATATAAAAATGATGTTATCAAAGCTGTTTCAAAGCCACTAACTGTTTAACAGTACCTGAAAATAACGAGGCGTCATATCCAGAAACAAATCAGCACAAACTCTTAAACCTTTCTAGTTAAACACTCGTTCTGCAACACAACTACACTGGGCAGCACAAGTTCACACGTGGACCAAAATCAAAATAACACAATAGAAAATCAATGACACACAGCTAGCTAAAGGACAACTAGTTAAACACACAAGGTTAAAAAAAAGGAGAGAAAGAAGCAAAACATTTGAGGCTGAGCGTCTGTTCCCTTCAACGAAGTCAAAATGAATTTCTCTCGTTCTGTTCCTCATCTGTTCTCGGCCCAATTTTTTATCTACAGAAACAGTGACAAACACGGGTCAGTTGTGTCACCTGGAGCTGCGTCTACGGCTGCAGGACTACCAAAGCTGCTGTTTTCTGCAGGGTGAGGCCACTACTCGCTTCACAGAACATCTGACATCTACTCAGCAGGGGGGGAGGTTTAGCTGATTGTTTTTATTTGCAGGTCTGCAAACATATTATTGGTCATTCATTTTAGTGCAACACACAGGCCCTTTGTATTGTATCAAGAAAGATCTGCTGAACAGTTTTTTCGTGTGTGTGTGTAGCTGTATTGATTTATCCTGCAGCAGGCAGCCAGTCTGGAATAGCCCGTTCATCGTCAGTGACCTGGTTCATCCATGTGTAACAGGATCCCTCACACACAGAGCCAGCAGAACATTTTATGATTCAGCGTTAGTAGCCTGGTGGTAGTTTGTTTGGCTGTAGCAGGAGGTTATGTAAAACATAGGCAAATGTAAACCCACAACATATTAGGATGATATCAAAGCACAGGGGAAGCTGCTAAAACTGTAGGAGCACACGATGCAGATCAGTGAAGGGAAACTACAAGACGGGACTCGGGACGGTAAACTGGTGACTATTTCTGCGTCTACGGGAGGGCTGATTGGCTGTAGTTGGAGTCAGACGCTATCCACTCACAGCAGTTTTGAAAATTAAAGTTGTCACATTGCTTTGTTAATTTGAAAGCTTAATAAAAAATAACTCATTAATCTTACAATTTTCTGTTATTAACTGTGATTAATCGCCATTACTTGATCAATAGCCTGACTGTAATTACACTTTTCAACTTTATATTTAAGCTTGTAACAGATATTTATGCAACATAATGAAGTAAATGCAGAATAAACACAAAAAATGTTAGATATATATATATATATATATATATACATACATATACAATTTTAATCAGATTCATCACAGCGTTACTGTGGATTAATTTTGATTAATCACGATTAAATATAGTTCATTTTTATTCTACATTAATCGCATTTCATTTTGCATGAGCAAACAGACTCGAGAAAAAAGGGAAAATATACGCACTTAACATGTTTACTGAACATCTTGAACATTCACGTCTCTGTAAACATGGATCCACTCTCTCTGTCACTTTGTGAGGCACTTCAAGTCTTTGAAACGAGGAACCAAAGCTATGTAAAGCTTCTTTTCACCTGATTTGTGACCTCAGTGATGAGGTCCTGAGGAGTTTATAAACTTAGTTTCAAGTGTTGTGTCATCCAAATTAATGTGGATATTATATTATGGCCACAGTTAGAGTAAAACAGCTTTATAAGCAGAGAACGCTTTAGGGTGTGGCTGCATAGTGACTGACAAGTCTGCCTTCAAAACCCAAAGATGGCGAAGGGCATTGTGCTTAAGACTTCAAGACAGATCGTCCAATGAGTGATGTCAAGGTGGCTACATCCATCTTTTATATACAGTCTTTATCAACATGGGCAAAACAACTACAATAGAATAACAGTCGATAATTTACCCGGCAACCAAAGAAAACATCTTCATACTACTACAGCGACCGAGGCTGCTCTTTTAGAGATGTTGAGATTATATGCAGCAGATATATTAATGTCTTATGAGTGAGTCCAAAGCACTGATTGTAAATCTGTGATGGATATTTGTCGCCTCCAACTTTTCAGCCATTTTTAATTCAAAAACAAACTAAAACGAGCTAAAACAAGTCAGGATGCTGCAGCCTGACTCACCTTGTTGCGACAGCGAGGGTCTCCGTCAGGATCCGTCAGTTTACCCCCGTATATCGCCGGCAGCTCCTCGGCATCGATGTGGTTCAATAAGACCTCCTGCCAGTTGGCTGTGAAAGCGGCGAAACCGTAACACTAAATTTCACTCTTTCGGGTGACGTCCTGTAAACAGGAGGTAGTGACATGCAGTGTTTTTGTCTCACCTCCCAGGATGCAGATCTTTTGTCGCGTGGCCTCACTCAGAAAGTGCTTGACGAGGTTGTAAGCCACAGGAAAGATTTTAGGGGCTGTGACAGAAAAAGCAGAAATCTGTCAATCGGACGTTCAGCTAAATTTGTCATTTTAAAAAAGTATGAAATCACCTTTGATAACAAACAGTTTCTTCAGCCCTTCTGGATAGTTGTCTTCAAACATCTGGAGGATCTGGTGCAACAGAGAAACATCAGCACCAACTTCTCTTCTGCTCTTTCTGCTTTTACACTACGTGCATACAAGTCTATACCTCTCCATATGTTTCTATAGCTGGTTTCCATAAGTGCTTCAGGCCCAGACCTTCAACATCGTAGATCATTGTGATCGACTCCACGTTTTTCCCCAGCTGGAAGGAAACGGTGACATAAAGACAGTAAAACATGTTTTTAATCATTTTTAAAAAGTGGCAGAGATGCATGTTTACTGCAGAGTTAACAGTCAAGTTGCTACAAACAGCCACAGTGTGATTAAATAATGTTAGAACATTAAATAATTCAGTTTCAGTGACATCCAAATAAGACAAGCAGAGTAAAATAAAATGTAAACATTAGGACGCGATTATTTAGTATTTATAAAATTAATGAATTCATGAAGGTTAAAGAATGCTAATTTTGAGCTAATTTTCAATAACTGTGATCTTAAACAGTTGTTGAACTTTAAAACAGCTGCATTAACTTTGATCCTTATTCAAATAAATTAAAGATGCAGTGCTGGAGGCCAAAGGGTCACCAGGTGGGGAGTTATCCCAGGAATATGGCAAACGTGCACAGTATTCAGGCTGGTTGATTTTCAAAATAAAAAGTCCAACCAGGAAAGATCCTGTTTCTGAAGCCGTGCAAACGATGAAACGATACCGTGCTATCGAAGATGAGGTGGGTTTGCAGGATTGGACCCAAACTAGCAAGTTTTTGTTGATAAATGGTCTGTATTTGTATAGCGCTTTACTTGGTCCTAAGGACCCCAAAGCCATCATCCACCCATTCACGCACACATTCACACACTGGTGATGGCAAGCTACAGTGTAGCCACCCTGGGGCGCACTGACAGAGGCGAGGCTGCCGGACACTGGCGCCACTGGGCCCTCTGACCACCACCAGTAGGCAACGGGTGAAGTGTCTTGCCCAAGAACACAACGACCGAGACTGTCGGAGTTGGGGCTCGAACAGGCAACCTTCTGATTACAAGACGAACGCCCAACTCTTGAGCCATGATCGCCCTCATAAAAATTCCCAGCTTCCGAGGGTACCCGCTGGTCCCTGTCAGCCTGCAGCACCACGGGCCTGTGGGTGCGGACGACTTAACGACTGTTAAGAACTAAAAGTTGAATCCTAACGATCTTGTTTTTTAACTGGTGAAAGACAAAATCAGATTTTGCACCACCTGAATGCAGTTTTGCTGCAGCAGAGCTTTGAGTTAATCAGATTTTAGTCTGAGGTGTGAACAGGAACGCTGCGTCTGCTCTTACTCTCTCCGACTGGAGGTTACACTCCTTCTGAAGCACCTCGCAGTCTCTGATCTTGGACTTGATGAAGTCTTGCTTGGAGGCAGACAGAAAGAGGCCCTTAGGATCTACGGGTCCGATGACATCGTACCAGATGGGGCTGCCCTCGCGGTCATAACCGCACATGCCTCCTGACAGATATTTCTCGATTACCTGCAAGAAAACCCCCATGTTGATATCAAACACTGCTTGGAATAGTAGCGAAGAAGCCGTGTCATTTTCTAAAAGTACAATGAAGCTACATTACATGTACATAAAACCTTTTTAGGGGGTTACCTCTGGTGGACGCCACTCAGTGATTATTGTGTCTACTTTCATCTGTCTCCTGAACTCCAAATGCTGGAAGAAAAGATGGACGCATGTTAGCTTCTGTTGTTATTGTTGTGCCATCTGTGCTATCTGTTGTCCTCATCTCTTATTGATTCCTGTATGTTTACTCTTGTTTTGCTCACTTTCCATCCTCCTTGTGAGTCTTTCTGTTGTCTGTGTGAGTACAGTTAACTTTTCGTTAACTTCCTGTTTTATTTGGTGCAATTCTCTGTCGCTTGCTACATTTTCACTTCCTTCTTCTGTTCTTTTCCACACTCTGAGTGTCTGATTTATTTCAGCTCTTTGCCTGAACCTTTCCCTCCATGCGTGTATTCAGTCTGTGTCTATGCCCTCAGTTGCTGTGTCTCCTGTTGTGCTTCTTGTTTGATTTTATGAGGCCATCATTGTGCAGTTTCCTGTTGTTTTTATTTGAGATAGTAACTGGGGATTGTTAGCCTCTGGTTTCCCGTTCACTTCTTATTGGAGTTTGTTTGTAACTTCTTTTTTCAAGATTAGAGGTCATCACTTCAAAAGTTATTAATTTTTTTTCATTTGTTATTTAGTAGTTCTCACCATTAAATATCAGCAGGGCTGCAGTTGAAACAAACAACTGTGTTACCCACATTAATAATCTGTCTCAATGACAGAGCTGAAACACTGAGAACTTTCTTTTTTATATACACAGCAGGGGTGAGGAACTCCAGGCCTCGAGGGCCAGTGTCCTGCAGGTTTGGATGTGTTCTTGATCCAACACAACAAGTCCTGAAGTTCTCCAGAGGCCTGGTAATGAACTAATCATGTGATTCAGGTGAATTGACACAGGGTGAGATCTAAAACCTGCAGGACACTGGTCCGCATACAGCATAAGAACCTGGGATTTTATTCAGATGCCAACTTGGAGTGAAACGTGAAGGTGGCAAACAACAGAGGAAATCTGCCTTCAGCGAAAACATGAACGCGAACCGGATCCTACCTGCAGCATTCAGGTTTGAAAATACGGGACATTTTCTCAGAGGTGTCTGATGTCATCAGGGGCTAAAGTGTTGGTTGACATTTATTTTCTCATTTCCTATCCTCCCTTCAGACTTTGCATAAAGTACGTGTGCATTTTTTGTTGAAGATGACAACTAGCAATGGAAGCAACACGTGAATGATTAGTAGTCGCTTTAATCCCTGGTTGAATCATGGTTTGAAACTGTGTTTCATAGAAGGCAACAATGATACAAACACGACAAATATAGAAACAGCAAATAATCGCAAACGCAGCTTCACATATTCTGCCCCTAGTGGACAACAGCAAATTTAGTCACTGTAAATCTTATCCCATCAATGGAAATGCTTCTTTAATCCTTTTTATCTACATCTTATCTCTTTGGTGGCAGTGATGACTCAGTTTATCCACAGCGTAAAATTACTACACTGCTCCTCTCTAATCTGGAGCCACTCCCACACTAATGAGCATTGTGTGCTGCAGCTAAGCGCATGAATGTCGTTCACTACATGGGAACGCAATATGGTCGTACTTTGGCTCGCGGTTCAGCAGTGCAATGCATTTCTAGAAGAGTGTTACACGTCCAGGCCTACAAAACTGAAAGTCCACGTTTATTACCTTTCGCAGCATTGCCTCAGACTTCTGGATATTGAAGTTCCTGGCTGAAAAGGAGAAATAAAAAGCAATGATCAATGCTGAAATCCATCTTCTATTCCACATTGTAGAGAGATGAAGCTTGAATGGGATTATACAACAGGTGCAAATTAAAATGATAAAATAAGAGAGCGCAGAAAAGAGACAAGAAACATAATTTTGCTGCGATTCTTAAAATTTAGATAGTAAAATTTAATATTTTAAACAAATGTTTAATGCTGAATTATACAATGTAGGATATGTTACATAAAGCTAAAACCACTGCGCAAACACATGGTGCTGTAATTAAAGGGGCAGCTGGTGATGTAGAAAGGCTTTCATTTATATAAGCTTCCTCTGGAATTTTCTCTCATATTATTCCTAAATCTGCTTATCAACAGGAATCTAACGGAAATATTAGCAGGAATAATGGCAGTACAGTGCTCATGTTGGAACTATGTCATTCCAACTTTGGCCAAATAACATTAAAATAAATCGTGTAAAGGTGCCAGACACAACGAGCCGAGAAGCCAGGAGTTATTAAAATGTTGCCGCTGATGTTTTTGAATGATGGTGGCGCCATTATGCAGAAATATAAACCAGTCTCTTAAATGATCAAACTTTGGTCGGCGTGCAGCTCTTCTCCGTAACGCTGTCGGCATTAAGACCACGGTGTGAGTACGAGTGATGCAGGGCAGAGTGCACACACAGGCTAATGCTCCTTTTAAGGTGATTAGCTCTGCAGCTGACAGTCCGGTGGAAAGACACGACAGTGCTGTGAACCGAGACATCTTACTCAACCACTAGATTACACTGCAGCTAATGCTTCCCCCTGGCACACTAACAGCAACCTTGAGGACACTCAAGCACAAAGCAGGGCCAGGATTAAGACCTGGCCACCTCTTACTCTGGGTCAGTAATGACATGCATGTCACCTTAATGGTCTGAAGTAACGGTTTCAACCTTTTAAATTTTAGATGACAGTTATTCTTTCAAACGCCACTTGGTCTATATGATATTAGAGGCCAGAATGTCCAAATTTACAGCATTGAAAACACAAAAATAAGACAAATGGGTAGTTGTCCACTTCATCAACCATCCACCCCACCATGCTTTGACACTGTTTGACACTTCACCCGTTGCCTGCTGGAGGTGGTCAGAGGGCCCGGTGGCGCCAGTGTCCGGCAGCCTCGCCTCTGTCAGTGCGCCCCAGGGTGGCTGTGGCTACAATGTAGCTGCCATCACCAGTGTGTGAATGGGTGGATGACTGGTTGTGTAAAGCGCTTTGGGGTCCTTAGGGACTAAGTAAAGTGCAATACAAACACAGGCCATTTACTGTTTCTGCAGATATCAGTGCCTTTGTGCGCATCAGTGCTGTTTATGACTGCTGCTTGCTAATGAACCTCGCCACGCTCTCTGGCTTCCTGTTTTCCATTTGCTATTTTATGTTGTTGATTGCTTTTCCCCGGGTTTCTTTCTTGGGTGCTTTCGCTCCCTGTCTGTCGTCCTGATCCTCTGCAGCCGTCTCCCACCTGTGCTCTGTTCCCACCTGTGTCTCGCTGCTTTCTAACTGACTGAAGTCACCTGGAGGTGTCTGTGTGGCAAAAGTGCTTCAGCGCTTCCCTTATGACCCCCTTTAGCAGAGGCTTCACAGGAGCGTCCTTTACCTTTACCACCATTAACCAAAGCTAATGATTAACGTGGCTGACAAGTGGCACACCTGTAAATGCTGGTTAATAGTATTTCTCACTCCAGGCCATAACTTGCCGTTGTGTTCTGAGCCTTCAATGAAAGGCTGGTAAAACCACAGATGTAATCGCAGCTCTGATGAAATCTGCTTCTTACATGAAGAAAGTGGATTTATACACACAAACAGTCTTTACATAAAGATTAGAATTATCCAATTACATTTAAGTTATACAATCACTTAATTCTAATGCCAGCTTTTAGAAACTTTCATTAATTGACTGCATTTGATAAGAAGTAATAAGGAGTAGTACTGGATCCTCTCTCCAACAGGAAGAATGAATAACATGATTAACCTCCTAGGACCTGGCGTCCACATATGTGGACATCACCTTTTGCGTTATTTAGACCAAAATACTCAATTTTGCTCTACAAGGGCCTGATATCCACTTACGAGGATGTTATAATGCTACTGTTCTATCGAAATTTTAAATCAATATCCTCATATGTGGCTCTCATTTTTCTTAGAAACAAAAATAAGGTTTAAAAAAAAAAAAAATCTGGTAATTCTTTGTTTTTACATTCATCAGGACCCAATCAGCCCAAATATCAAAGAGAAATTAAAAATGCAAGTCGTGGAAGAGTTCGGGTCTTAGGAGGTTAATCAGCTCTGTGCATCATGGATCTCTTTTCCTTATACAATTCCTTATGAGCTCATGATGCTTTCCCTCATAAAAATATTAAGGAAAAGACCCTCGAGGTCATTTTGGAGTATTCAACTGCAGCTAGTCTGTCAGGGCTTCTGTTTAAGCTGCCTGGTGATCTCTGCACTGGATTCCTATTTTGTAGCTACTTCTGGGGATTCTGCTTGTACCAGTAAAGGCTCCTTTTTATGTTTCACATTTGGGCTCTATCCATGCACCTTCACTTCACAGCTCCAGACATTTTCAGCGTCGACTTTAGGTGTAATAAAAGTTTACGATGTGCCTCATTACGGGTACAAAGCCTCCGTGTGCAGCTCATTGTCGGATAACTCTGATAGTCTCGCTGCTATCACTGGTGCATGCTCGCTAAAAAACAATGCAGGGAGATCAAACTCCAAAATTAAGCGATAATGTATTTGTGCACCTTACAGGGACTCTTACTGTTTACTGTTCTAAAGAAAGAACGCGTGCTAATATCAAAGGAAAACAAAATGTCATCATATGAACATGTTCCCACAAACGTGATTAACACCGTGGTCGTCAGAAGAGGAAGTCTCTGTACAAAATGTCGGCGCTTGTGGTTAATAAACGCTGACTCAGCAGACTCTGTTTGATGATCACAGGCTGAAGTGGTAACATTTTCTCTGCCATTTAACTCTCCTGCTGATCCTTGCTGCACTCACAGCACACAGACATCCCTGACTGGCTTTAATGGAAGTGATCGGGCTTTTCACATTTCTTCTCATTCCCACAGTATATGTTCTATTCTCGTTTATTTACCAGGAAACCAAGATGGAAGGTTGGTGGTTCAATCCCTGGCTCCCCCAGTCTGCACAGAATTTGATATTTTAATGGTGATCATGCGTCCTCACCATGTGCCAAGTCGAGCTATTTGCTTCACACCAATAAACCACACCACTGTTTTTCATCTAAAAGCTCCCGTCAGATGGGCTCTACAACATCTCCACCAACAACACCTCTGATGTTTAACGTTCAAATTGTGGCTTGTAATCTAAAATTCTTTGAGTGGTGTACAAGCACAACATAAATGGCACTCCAGGCCCACGTAAATCTGGACATTCAGATTATCGCAGACTTGCAGTTATGACCAGCAAACAGTGACGACCATCAATTACTACTAGAATTCGCTTTCAATCACTCATCCAGTTAATTTCAGTTCTTTCTTTCTTTAAAAGCTACTCTAAATTGTGTTTAGTGAACACTGAAAATAACCGGTCCTTTATTTTAAGCTAGCTATACGTTTAGTTAATTAAACTTGTTATTCATAATTTTAGGAAGCTATTGCAACTTTTTATCCAGTGCAGTCTACCTACCAAGTGTAAAAACCCATGGTTTAATCTGAGGAGAAGACATAAATCCTTTTACGGTTGCATCAGGAAGGGCATCCCACCTGCTGTGGTGAATTTGGTGAATAAGGAAGCAGATGAAAAGAGCTTTTATCCTCTACGTTTAGCTAAGACTATGCATTTCCATATTCTTAACCAACAGCTTGAACTGCCAGCCACACTTTAATCAATATTTCCTAACTGTGTCATCCTCATAGTTTAACTACAGTACCGTGCAAAAGTGTCGAGCCACCCCTCATTGCCTTATATTTTGTTAGGAAAATGGGAAACAGGTGCAGCATGTGTACATACAGATGGAAATATATGTAAGGTAAATATCGAGTTTTTACATTTCCAATGATCCATGATCTTGAAAGTCAATATGGTTCGACCAGGCGCCATCTTCGAGTGCTTATTCATCACTTTTAGGCAACTTTTCAGCTCAGATTTGTTCAGGTTGCATGCAGGTTTTTTCAGATTGGTTACAGATACAGAACTAATCTGTTCATGTACCCCGTGGCACAAATACGTCCTGGGCTACTTTTGCCTCTTGGGAATCACTAAGCTGCACTGTTCCTACAGTGTGATGCTGAGCGTGACATAACTCGTATCATTTAGAGCATGCATTGTCCAAACAGACCTTCATTGTCGATGTTTGGAGCTGTGACGCTCAGCTTTCTGAGAAGCAAATCAGGCATTTCACAGCATTTACGCTCATTTAGTAAGGCCGACTTAAAGAGAACAGCACGCCCTAACCGCCAGTCTAAATGCTCATTATGAGACACTTCTTCATTGTTATCAAAAATCCAGGGAACTGAAACCTAGAAGAGCAGCAGACAGCCGTAGTGCACCTTTAATGCGATTAGCCGTGGATTAGCCTGATACACAGAGTGCTAGGCTTCTGCTTCAGGACTTAATCAGAACAAGGCCTGCTTTAATCGCTGTGCTTCCTCCAGGGTGCAAAACTACCACCTATTCAGACTCTGGATATCAGTTACACAAAGAAGACCTCCAATTTTTGTATTTATCGCTTATTTATTTGTCACCTTTTGGCAAAAGAACTTCTCCTCTCGACAGCAACTTTAGCAATCGTGATCTGATGGCACCGTTTTGCCAAACACATTTGCTTTGCAAAAAGAAGCTCAATAAACTCTCTATAGGCTCCCCTTGTTAGTCTGCATCGTGTTATTTTATTGTATTTATTCACATTTGTATATTTTACAGTGTCAGAGCTGACAGGCAGGGAGGGGCAGATTAGTGTGTGTGTGTGTGTGTGTGTGTGTGTGTGTGTGTGTGTCAAAATGTGAACCAGACGCAGACAGAAGGGTGGGGCCTACGGGGGCATTAAAAAGGGGTACAAGAAGACCCGCCTCCCCCTCTCTCAACGGTATAAGAGGTGTCGTGCTGAGTGCACATGTTGGTTTATGTGAGCAGAGTCATGAAAACACGTTGCTTCATGTCTTTTCATGCAATAAGCCACCACGTTATTTCACTCGTCTTACTCCACAAGTGAAATAACGTAACCAGATTTTTTTCCCAGTTTGCATTACAGGAGAAAATAACTTTAGCGTGTAGGATGTGGAATTATGGGAAAACTTCTGCTTTTTGCCATTTTCAGTTTGGGAGAAGTGACAGATGCAAAGTGGTAGTAAACTCACCTCTGAGCCAACGTAAGAGGAAGTGGTCATGCTGTGCAGGAAGTTGAGGAAGAATATCTTGTACCCGTACTCGAAACTGCAATCAGACACGGGAGAAAAGAAGAGGCATATGACTTCAGAGGAAACGTTTCACTAAATGTCTCCAGCTGTGAGCCTGGGAGTGAAAACCGGACTTAAAAGAGGTTTTCCTTCACAGTGGTGTGTGTCACCGAATCTTGTGACTTAATGACTATTTTCCATTACAGCTGATGCCTGTAAACATGTTTGCAGAGCCCGAGGCAGGCTCACGTGACATTTTAGGCTCTAAACTTACTTTATAGCCAACAGCATGTCAAACAAATATATATAGATAAGGACGAGTATGGAATCATTTCCCCTTGCAACACATGCAGGTTGATTCCTTTCTACAGATTGTGACTTACAAGAGTCACTGGCACAAATAAATGTGAATGCAAGCTTTGCAAAATTGCTGTATCATGATTTATATTCACTCAATGTATCAACTCATTGTATCACATTGATAACAGCTCTCCCCCTTATCTGTTATCAATGCGAACAGATAAGGCACAAGTTTATTTTGAAATAAGCAGATTCTACTGATAAAACATGCAAATAAAATCAAGTCAAATAATAAGTTTGGGGCCCATAAAAGAGGTCATATAAACTCAAATCAACCCCGTGTTGTGCAGGAGGTTAATTCTTGGGGGTGTGGCTGCAGGTTTTGCAATCATAGAAAAGTATTTGTTGAGAAAAGAAACAGATGGAGGATGGATTTGTCAGATTTCTTCCTAAAACAAAGAAGAAATATTTGTATCGCTGGTTTTGTCAGTTTAATGTAAAACAAAGGGCAGAAATAAACGGAAAATATTAAAAGTTCAGTTGCTGCAAAATGCAGGATGGTCAGGTTTTCCATTAGGATGGTGGAGTTTGTTCCCATACAGCCACTACAGCTCAGTCAGTGTGTCTGTCCATCCCTGAGGTGTTGGATGAGGTGGAGGTTTCATGTATCTGTGCGGACTAGTTCAGTTCTGAAATAATAAACCCAGTTCTTTAAGTGCCTGGCTTTATGTGCACTATCATGTTGAAACATGTCAAGTGTCCTGATATCAGTGTGTCACCTTGATCACGTGACGTTACCTGAAATCCACACACCTTCCACTTAACACCATATTCCGGCAAAATACGAGACACACCCAGAAAGCCAGACAACCCAACCGACCTCTCAGGCCTGAAATACTTTTTCAACCACTGAAAACCACTGCTGTAAAAAGATATTGATTAAACCTACAATTTTATTGGTCTAACTGTATGTATTTTAATGTCTTTTCATATATAGAAATAAAGTCACATCCTTCTGTCCACGCACCAAACCTACAGTAACTGCTGCTGGTTTTAACCATAAATCACTAAAACGTTTTTTTGCACCCACAGTTTAAATCAGATACTTTGCCAGGCAATGAAAATCAGTTTTTTCAGCAGCACCAAAACTTCCCATAAACCCATAACTTAACGGATGTGGATAAGAGACACAGGAGCATCTCATATGCTTCACAGCACCAGACTGAGAAAAGAAGAGCAAACAATTTTATTATTTTTTGGTTTGTTACTCGATTAAAACGATCATGACCCATCATTTTAAATGACAGTTAATGAGATCTTTAATTTCCATCTTTAATTTAATAAGCCTGAGATCATTTTAGAAAAATATGTGCAATTTTAGCAATATACCACACTGCATGTGGATTACAATGTTCACATAATAGTGAACTTTTAAAGACACATGGAACTAAACGGCTGTTTAGTAAAGCTGGAATCACCACGATCGCCTGGAGCAAACTACTAAACCCTGATGCTGTGTGAGTGTGCGCACAGATCAACAAAGATAAAAGCACTGTATGAATGTGGGTGTGACTCGGTGAAGGAGCCTTGCAGTAGAAATGCTAGTCTATGTATAATTTATCTACCTTTATCATAACAGTGTAGTATATGTCTCAATCTTTCTTACTGTAAAAACACTCCTGCCCTGCAGCAGAGACCTCTGCTGTGGAGGGTTAATATGAACTAATAGAACATGTCCATAAACTTTTGGCCTTATCGTACACTTTGCAGTGTGTATAGATGCAGATAACAGACTTTCCCTTCAGCTAAATGATGAATGACAGCAGACCCCTGACATCATATGATAACAGATGTGGAGCTGAACGTGGTCTTCCAACAGGACTGCTCTTAATGGGGTGCAGCTGATAATGTTGCTAATGACTAAGAACTGCTTTGTTTTTGTTTTTTTCAATGTTTATTTATCCAGAAAGGAATTATTTTGCGAGAAAGTCGTGGCAGAGCCTGTTTTTTCATAAACAAATTTCCGTACCCACTGTGACGTTTCCCATCATTTAGGGCAGTCGTGTTATGAACCCTGTGTTTTGTGTTTTTGGACCTTTAAGTTCTCTTATTATAAACTTTCTTCAGTTTAATTCTCAGTGTCTTGTTGTGTTCTCACTCTTCTGCCTTTTTTTACAGTTACTGTTGTGTGTATTGTGTTCCCTGTCTCAGTTCACCCTTCCTCACCCGTGTTGCCTGTGTCTAGTTAAGTCTCCATCGCTATGTTAAGTTCCTTCCTGTTTTATTCTGATATTCTCCATATTTTTGTGCCCTATATTCAGTTTTGCTTCCCTTGTCTTGTTTTCCCTGATTGGTTTCAGCTGTGTACCCTGGTGTTTCTAATTGCCTACACTGAACTGAATGTTTGTCTGCCTGTGGCTTTTCCATTGTGTTGCTCCTGTTTGGCTTTATGTGATTTGTTTCCTGCTGGATTTAAACAACACAAACATAAAGGTTTGTTTTTTCTTCCTTAATTAATTCCATCTGATGAGTCCAGTAATCTACACAATCCATCACATGACAAAGGGTGGATCTGACTGTGAAACCACAAGCTCACTGGCTTGTGATTAGCCGCTCACAAGCTGTTAACCAATAACTGTATCCAGAAATGTTCCAGTAAAACACTGTCCTTGTGGGTTTATTGTTTGAGTTACTGTTTTTTTGTCATAACAAATACAAAATTAAGTCCATTTTGTAAATTACAGGGACCCTAAGAGTCAGAAGGATTATTCAGGATATGCTCACTTGTTACTAACCTGTGCAAGGACAAAAAATGTTATTTTTCTTGACAGCTCAATGACCGCAGCATGTTTCAAAAGTAATTTATGTAATTTATTGGTTAAAGGAAATCACTGTTTCACTGTCTGAAATACTAGTTTGAACAATAAACATAATACTGAAGTTTGAACTTATGTTTTGCAAAGGTCTTGAGCCACATCAGATTTCTTTATAGTTAATGATTTGTTAGAAAAATGGGAAATGGGTGCAACGACTTACTGAAACATAAGGCACAAACAGGAGCTTGAAAGTCAATATTTGGTTTGACATCTTTAGGAATAGTTCTCTATGGTTCATGAAGGACATTCGAAGCTCTTCTTTAGATGTTGGTGGCTTTTTGTTTCCCATTGTCTGTCTATATGATCCCACACTGCAATGATAATGTTGAAATCCAGGCTCTGGAGAGGCCGATCATGACTGCTAGTGCTCCATTTGGTGTTGTTTGTTTGTTTTCTATCCATGATGGGTTTACTGCACTGGCTGTGTGGTTGGGATCAGTGTCATGCTGAAAAACGAAGCCGTTGCCAATCACATGCTTTCCAGATGGTTTTGTATGGTGGATGAAAATCTGATTGTACTTTCCCAAGTTCATAATTCCATTCATTTAGACAAGATCACCGACATCACCGGCCCCAAAATATAAAGAAATGATGATGGCTCAAGACGTTTGCACAGCACTATAAATCTGAAATAGCACCTATTGTTTTTCAGTGATGTTTTCCCACTCTCACTTCTTGGTGGAAAATGTGCACCGACGAGCACAGGGGTAATCTTAAAAAAGACGTTTTAATATATTTTTATTAACACTTTGTTTACATACAGATGGAGAAAAGGACATTTTTAATGTCAGTGAGACGTAAATGTTACTGTGCCAAAAACTAACTGCAGCTCCTTTTTTCTGTCTCAGAATTACTTGTCCGTTGTTTGGCAAATTATAGGCCAAAAAGTCATTTACATTCATTTAAATATGGATACAAATGTTTTTTTGCAAATACACAAATAATTATTTGGAACATCACTGGCTTGTAAAATATTAGGATTTTAAATGTATTGAACACTGACTATCTAATGGGTTTTAGACAGCAACTAAAATCTGAGTTTCTTAGTCAGATTAGCTGATTATTTGCTACAACGCCGTCCTTATTCTATGGGCTGAATTCTGATCTTTAAAAAAAATCAAAATATAATCAAGTTTAAAACAACAACAACAACAACAATAATAATCATCTTTATTTATAGAGCACATTTAAAAGCCTTGGGCATACCAAAGTGCTTTACATAAAACAATAAAAGGTTCAAACATTGATAACGGATAAATAAAAATAACGAGTTATGTTCATAGATAAAAGCTACCAATAAGAATGACTACAGCACATGGGTAATAGCAAGATAAAAGCTGTACCACCATAATAAAAGACACCAATAGAAAGATAGGAGGGAATTAATACAAGAGGTCAATAGGTCACAGGAACCAACCAAACAAACAAACAAACCAGCAATTAAAAGGTGGAGAAGGCAAGTTTAAAAAGATATGTTTTAAGCTGTGATTTAAAAGAATGAATAGAATCAGATGCCCGGATGCCAATCGGGAGATTGTTCCACAGCACAGGTGCGACAAGAGCAAACGATCGATCACCTCTAGTCTTAAGTCGAGATCTGGGCTGAGCCAGCAGTAACTGTGACGATGACCTTAAAGCCCTAGCAGGAGCATAAGGGTTTAAAAGGTCCTTAAGGTAGCTGGGTGCAGTGTTGTTAGTAATTTTAAAAGTAAACAACAAAAATTTAAGTTGAATACGATATTTGACAGGCAACCAGTGCAGATCGGCAAGGACAGGAGTAATGTGGGCAAACTTGCTGGTTTTAGTTAGAATGCGAGCTGCAGCATTCTGAACTGTCTGTAATCTATGTAAAAGGGAAGAG